TTTCCAAGGATTGGTGCCGATTAGTGGTGCTGGGGGGTTGGCACATGGCCTCAAGCAGCCTGATCTCATGGGTGGGTTGCTCAGGCTGGAACTTGAGCACCCAAGGATCCTTGATGATGTCCAGGATGGTGGCCCGTTTGGTGGCTTGGCGTAGCGTCTGGAGGACCACGTTCTAGGGCAGGGGAAAGAGAGGTCTTGGCTGAGCTCGCCCCCCATTGTGCCACACGGGCAGTGAGCAGTTGGACCTAAGAGAGAAGCAGGAGAGCCCATCACACCACTCTGGTGAAAGGGAGTGTGGTCCTGATTTTATCTGGAAGAGCCAGGCATTTAACTCTGTGGAGGAGAGGGAAAGGAAGGGTACCTTGGGGGAAAACTTGCATAATCCCTTTCTGGCCTAAAGAGACAGAGGCTAAAACCTGCTTAGGACTGTCATGTAAGGTGTGGAGCCCAGGGGTGTCTCTTTTAGCTCCCTCCCAGTTAACTCCTCTAGGGCAGGGGTTAAAGTATGAGATGGGTCTGGTGGGGAAGAGCCTCCCCCAGGGTGGGGAGGCCTGGGATGGGTCTTCCCTCCCTGTGGGTCATCCCTTAGGCCTCAGCCCTCCTGGGGGAGCCAGCACCTTGCACTCCTGGGAGATGGAGTAGTTAGATGGAAAAGTGACCTCCTTTTGAGTCTCTTTCAGCAGCTTCTTGAGATTGGTGTCATCAAAGGGCAGCCGGGCGACCACTAGAGTGTAGAGGATGACACCCATGCTCCAGGTGTCAGACAGGAAAGGGTTGTAGGGCAAGCCCAGCAAGATCTCCGGGCATGCATAAGCAAAGCTGCCACAGTAGGTCTGGCTGAGGTGGTTTGTAAAGCAGTTCATTTGGCGGTAAGAAGGGCTACTGTGCACTGTCTGGTTAGAAGGCACCATCTTGGCGAAGCCAAAGTCCGATATCTTCACATTCTCCCGCTTGTCCAGCAACAGGTTCTCCAACTTTAAGTCCCTACCAGCAGCAGAAAGGCTGGGGGTCAGGCTGGGGAGAGGGCTTAGTATTAGACCGGGAGCTGAAGGGCCAGGGGTCAGAGGCTAGAGATGGAAAAGGCAAAGTGGAGAGAGGTGCCATTAGGCGGACACAGGGAAGAGAGGAGGAGCCATGGAGTTGTGAGCAGAGCCCAAAGGTGAGAGAGGATGGTACCTGAGGACCACGGGGGGCTCGTCATTGTAGTTCACAGTGCCATGCTCACAGTGGGCGCTACAGAAATGTTCTTGAGCAGAGAATTTAGATAGAGGGGATGAAGGGGCCTAGATAACTGAGGAAGGCCAAGGGAGGAGAAAAGAAGGCAGAAAATGGGAAACATGCATGAAACCCCCTGGAGAGCCCATGGGCCCCAGCCTGGTGGCAGCACCCTCACCGGTGCACGATGCCCTTGCTGTGCAGATAGGCGATGCCCAGGGTCATCTGGGAGAACCACTTGCCAGCAAGGGGCTCAGAGCAAGCCCCGTAGCGCTGGATCCACTCCAGGACGTCCCCGCCCTGAGCCAGCTCCAGAATGATGTACACTCGGGATGTGGTTTCGATGGCCTGGTAGAAGTTGATGAGGTACTTGTGCCGCAGGACCTTCATTACCTGGCCCCAGAAGAGGGACCCATCAGACCTGGGAAGGGAGAACCCTGGCTGTGCTCCCAGCCCTCCTCCTGCTGTTCTAACTAACTTAGAACTTTGCAAGAGGATTAAGCTCCAGAGGCCTGCATGGTCTGTGGGCAAACACTGTGCTTTGGACTTTTACTTTGTGAGGGGCTGGAGGTGAGTGGGTGGGTGGAAAGAGGTTGAATTTCCATCAAATCATTTTCCATCTGCTTAGGAAGACATTCAGCCCTGATTGGGAGGGGTGGGGTGGGGTGTTTTGTCTCCTCCCCCTCCTAACATAGCCCTTCTGAGAAGTCTTAAGCAGCTCGGTATCAGTTCCCTTTTCCGGCCCCCTTTCCAACCTGTATCTCACGGGGCAGGAACTTGTTAAGATAGTCCTCAGAGGCCTTCTTCTTTGAGATGATCTTGACAGCCACCATCACCTTCTGCTTTGTGTAGTAAGCCTCATACACCGTCCCATAGGAGCCATTGCCAATGACCTTGCCCACCTCATAACCATAGTCCTCCATGACAGAGCGGTAGGCTGAAGTGGGTGGTGCTACCTCCGAGGTGTCTCCCTTCCCCATGCTGTTGGGCTTGCTGAGAGCAGGGAACTTTGCTACTTAAAAGCCTATTATCTGCTCAGAAAGCCAACCTTGAGCCACTGAGGGCTAGGGTACCAAAGTGAAGTCAGTCTCTGAATGCTTGCCTATATAGTCACGCAAGTCTGGGATGCTGGGCTCAACTCTCCACTAGGAACATGGAGGGGGAAGAAGGGAGCAGTAGTTCTTTTTGTCACCACTAGCTGTTGTTGCTTCTTTCTCCTCCTGGTTACGGAACTCCCCAGGGTCCCATGTTCCACATACATCACAATTCACCTTCTTTCCACCACTGGCCACAAGGCTTGAGAATGGTGCACTGTGGAACATATTCCTGGAGACAACTTCTGCAGTCTGGTGAGACCCCCTATAGATCTAGTCGATTGAGTTTCCGCTGTGTGCTAGGCCGTATGCTGAGTGCTGGGATAAAATCGCCAATAACATCCTATTCTCCTAGACTTTATTATCCAGAATGAGAAACACACATGTTAGAATATTACAGAGAATTACAAGGCATTGTAGAAGCCTATTCTAAGGAATCTTAACCTTACAGTGTTTTTTGTTTATATGGCTTAAAGCAACCACCACTTTTTTTTTTTTTTTTTTTTTTTTTTTTCAAATTGAGCTGGGCTCAGTTGGGTGGTTCTTCTGGTGGTCTCATCTTAGCTGGGATGGTTTGTTTCTGCCGCATATGGTCTCACCATCCAGCCAGACTAGCCAGAGTTCCTCCACATAATAGCACTGATTTCTTTTTCTTTTGTTTTGCTTTTAAAAAAAAAAAAATTACCATGTAATGTATTATTTGTTTCAGGGGTACACGTCTGTGATTCATCAGTCTTACACAATTCACAGCACTCACCATAGCACACACCCTCCCCAATGTCCATAACCCAGCCGCCTCATTCCTCCTGCCCCCTTCCCCTCCAGCAATCCTCAGAGTAGCACTGAATTTCAAAAGGAAAAAAAATCAGAAATTGCACGATCAACTACGCCTAGGCTCCATAATTGCAGAGCATCACCTCCATACCTTTATACAAGTAAAAACAGTTACAAGGTTATGAGATCTCAGATCGAAGGGATGGAAGAGACTCCACCTGTGAACCTTGAAATGCATTCTTATCTTGCTTCCCATGACCCTAAGTTCTGTAGTTTTCCTCTTATCCCTCTAGCCATTCCTCAGACTTCACTGGAGCCTTATCTTCTCTATTTGTCCCTTCATCGTATCCTGCCACAGGCCTTACTTCCTCTGGGCTTTATGTTCTGTTAGGATCTCACCTGTTCCCAACACTTTAGTTATTAAATCAGTGCTGACTGCTCCTAATCTCCTGTCTACCCCAGATGTCCTCTGTACTTCAGATCCGCATCCAGTAGCTTACTGGACATCACATGGACAGGTCTTTCTCAGGTCTCTTAAACTCACCATGTCCAAAATTGAACTCTTTATGTTCTTGGCCTAGACTGCCTCTTTCTGTTAAGTTTTTTTTTTTTTTTTTTGTAAGATTTTATTAATTTTTTTGACAGAGAGAGAGCACAAGTAGGGGGAGAGGCAGGCAGAGGGAGAGGGAGAAATCGGAATTCCAGGAAAGTGGGGCTTAATCTCAGGAGCGGGGGATCACGACCTGAGCCGAAGGCAGTCGCTTAACCAACTGAGCCACCCAGGCGCCCTCTGTTAAGTTCTACAGTTGTCTTCAGTTTACACACCCAGGTGTCATCCTAGACCCTCCCCTCTGCCTCAGCCCCTACATTCTGCCTCCTAATTATCTTTAATAATATATTCTGGCCTCTTGAAGTGGCTGCCACTTTGGTCAAGCCTCCATCAATTCTAGCAAGCTTTCTGTTCCCCGCCAGTGTTCACCTTAACCCCAAGGCATAACACTTACTTTATTCCCACTTAAAACAATTCATTGTCTTCCCCAGTCTCAGGATCAAGTCCAAATTCTTTTATATGGCTTCAGCATCTGACCCTGCTTACCTCTCCAGTTTTATCCTTTTTTTCCAAGATTTTTTTTTTTTTTAATTTGACAGAGAAAGAGTATAGATAGGCAGAGCTGTAGACAGGGAGAGGGAGAAGCAGGCTCCCCGCTGAGCAGAAAGCCCAGTGAGGGGCTTGATCCCAGGACCACCTGAGCTGAAGGCAGATGCTTAACCAACTGAGCCACCCAGATGCCCCCAGTTTTATCTTTTAAAATACATGCAGTGCTCCAGCCAAACAACTACTTTTCCTTCATTGTTCCCTCTGTCCTGGCAAACCCCTACTCTTCCTTGAGGGCTTAGCTCATGAGCTATTTTAAGGACACCTTTTACTGACTGCTCAAGCCCAAACTTGATGTTCCTCCTTCCTGGGTGCTCCCAGAGCCCGAGTACTTTCTCTGTCACCACATCTAACATAGTGTCTGTAATTGTGTTTTTTCTGCTTGCATCTCCCGCTAGGGCTGTAAGGGAGGTCAACTGACAAGAAGAGGGAGATGAAGTCAGAGGTTTGAGAAGAATGGGTTGTGGAGAATGGAAGAGAGCTGATCTGGAAAATAAGCAGGATCACTGGGCAGCACTGGGGTCCAACTGAAGTTAAAAACATAATTTATAGACACATGATTTTAACACAGTGTTAAGATTTTTTTTAGTATCTTGGGTATAGGTGCTTGAATATTTTTTAAAAAGATTTTATTTATTTGACAGAGCATGCACAAGCAGGGGGAGCAGCAGAGGGAGCAGGAGAAACAGGCTCCCGGCTGAGCAGGGAGCCCCATGCGGGGCTCAATCCCAGCACCCTGGGATTATGACCTGAACCGAAGGCAGATGCTTAACCGACTGAGCCACCCAGGCGCCCCATAGGTGCTTGAATATTGACAGATGAACCCAAGATTAAGGTTTCCCCTGCTAGCTGGAATGAAAGAATGGAAAAGAGGCATCAAGAACACAGGCAAGAATGTGGCTGAAATGATGGAATGCAGAATCTAAGCCACATGGGTTCGAAAGACAAGCTAGAAAAAGGTCAGAGGGACAAATGGAGGGGTTGCAGTTCTCCATGAAACAAGAAGTCTGGAGGGAATGACAGAGGACAAGAGATTGTGGTCTCTTGCTAGAGGGGTTACCTGGATATAAGACTGTGCATGAGCAAGGTGAGAGCATGGCACACAGGGAGAGAACAGGAGAAGAATGAGATTTGCTGTCTTACAAAAACAATTCCAACAACAGATTATGCAGTAGGCTACTGGTAAATTCCTACTTATGAACAGCCTGCTGATCCTGCTGGCAGGGTAATTACAAAGTTTGTTGGAAGCTAGATCTACATTCTCACACTAGCAAGATGAGTTGTCCAGGGCATACTGTGGTCAGGAAGTCCCCCCACCCCCAGCCCTGCCCATCTGCTCCTCTGGACAGGTGGCTTGGTGGCAGCTCTGTCCTCATGTCCAGTGGGTAAACCAGTTCATTTGAAATGTGTATTAAGCTGCCTACTTTATACAAAAACACTGCTAAGTCCTGAGGATATCAAGATGGATAAATTACAGTCTTCCTAGGAGTAGTTAGTAATTAGCAAGAACGACAGACACATAAGTAAAATAACAGTACAGTGAGATAAAGTGCTATAAACAAAGACTGGAAGATGTAAAGGCAGGCTTTATAGAAGAGGCATTTGCACTGTTCAAGAGGAGTCTCCAGGCACATAAATAGGGAACGACAGACTGGGCTGTCTAGGCCGAAGGAATCGTATGAGGCTTGCAGGCTTGAGAGAACATGACATTCAAGATTCTAATTTGAATCCAGAATAGGGTTCCAAAAGGGTAATGTACCTGGAGAAGTAATAAAGATCCAGGTCTGACAGGCCTCATATACCAAGCCTTTGGAGTTTCTCCTGTGTACTCATGGTCAAATTTTGATCAAAATGGTCAAAGTCCAGGCCTGTTAAAAAACCATGATGCCTAGTCACCTCCTGATTTTGTGGACCCAGAGCTCCTTGTTTTTAATAAGCTTCTAGCCGAATGTGATACACACCAAGATTTGAGAACCACTGTTGCAGGGAATAGTATATACAGTGTGTAGAGGTATGAGTCTTCACAGCAGCAGAGTGGAAAATGGACCCAAGAGGGGAGGTGCCCAGGAGACTAGCAAGGTGGTTGTCGTGGTAGTTTAGGTCAGAGAGGATGGGATCTGAACCAAGGTAGCCATGGAGGGCAAGTATTTGGAAGATATTGAGGAAATAAGCAGCAGGGGGGCTTGACAGCATTGATCTGAGGAGGCTGGTGATTGGGATGGGAGAGTGAGAAACAGTCCCAGGTCTCTGGCTTCTCTAAGTTACTTTTTCTAATTACAAAATTCACTGATTTAGCTAAAAACTCAATCTCCTACTTCCTAGAACCTCACCTCCTCCTCCTGCAGAGAGGAGGGCTAGGTCAGAGAGGGTAGAAGAGGGTAAATGGAGGACTTTTCAGGTCAGAAGCCACTTAGGATATTTTCCCCTGTACTAGATACGTCTTTCCGCGGGGAAAGGGAACCTTAAGTCTGCATCCTTAAATGTTGCCCCCCGCTGGCCAAAAGGAAGTCACTGCCCCTGGGTCTGATCTTCAAAATTCCCCTAATGGCAGACGCCCTCGAAGTAGCGGAGACAGGCAAAGGTAAACTTTTCCAGAATAACCTTCAATACGAAATTAAGCTCGAACGTACACAGATAAATACGAACAAAAACAAAGAAAGAGTCGAACGTATGCCCAGATTCTTTACCTGCAAGTAACAATAACCCTGTCAGGCTGCCCAACTCACCAGATAAAAGGGGCGACACCCTGTCTCTTCTGCCTGCCTCCGCACCAGACCTGGCTCGGGCTTGCCTAAGTTCGAATATGGGATGGTCGTTATATGGCCAGGGAGGCCTCCGGTGCAGCCCCGGGAAAATATTTTTATTCATATATTTTTCGGCGGGAGACCATTCGTGACGGATTGGGAGAGCAGTGAGGAGAGATCCAGACTCCAGGAACCTTGCACGGACCGTGCCAGAGCTGTCCTAGCACAGTGACGCCCAAAGTCTCACTCCCCCGCCCCCCACCGCCCCGCCCGGGTTGGGGCCACCGACCGCCTCTCGGAGCTCGCCCTCTGCAGTTGGGGGCGAGTCCGATTGGTTCAGCCAGCAATGCTCCGGGCGTCCGCTAGGTGTGAGCCCAGCCACCAACCCGGCTCCGTCTCCGGGACAGTCACTGGACGCGGGCGGCGGACGCGGCTCCCGGGCTTCCGCCCGGGCCCCAAGTCTCCCCGGGGACGGGCGGGAGGCCCAGCAGCGACTCTTACCCCGAAGGGGCGTCCACGGCCGCGCAGCCTGGCCTCAGCTGTAGCCCCTGTCCGAGAAACCGTCGGCCGAGCAGCGCCACGGCCGCAGTGGTGGGGGCGTGGTCCCCTCTCCGCTCCAAGCTAGGAGCTTTCCGCCGGGCTGAGGCCCCTGAGGGAGAGACGGAAGTGGTAAGACTGACGTGTCCTGGGCTGCTCTGCACATCGCCAGTGGGGTGGCCCCGCCGGGGGAGCGGACTAGCCGAGCCTTGTGGGCTCTCCGGAGCTGGGCCGACCTCCTGGCTGGAGAAACCTTGTCGAGGAGCCCCTCACTCAGCCGAGTGCGGCGTCCCGCGTGCTGCGGCCGCAGCCGCTGCGATCAGGCGCCGCGGCGGCCAACCCCGTGGTGGTCGGTCCTCAGGTCCTCTCCGGGCCGCCGCTCCGCGCCGCTCTGGGGGAGACCCGGGCAGGAGCCCAAGGGCAGCTACCGGGCCGCGGAGGCCACGGGCGCCGCGGAGGCCAGCCCTACCCGATTGGTGAGGACCCCGCGGGTGTCGCGGGAAGGTGCCGGAGGCGCGAGGCCGCGTGGTGTTGCCATGGAAACGGGCTGGGCGCACTGGGAGGTCCGGGGCAGGCGGACTGTGGGACAGGGACCCCAGATCTAGAGGACGAGAGCGCAGAGGCGGACAGAGACAGGATTGTATTGGGGTCGGGGGCGGCCTCCCGAGGGAGGGTTTGAGCGGCCAGGGGGAGAGATTGGAGCTATGGGGCTTCGTTTCGAAGGACCTGAGCTGGGGCGTCAGGAGTTGATCCCTGCTTTTCATAACTGCAGGATTCCCCCAAACAGGTTCCACTGGCTTAAGGATGACAGTCCTAGGGCAGCCACGGAGTTGGAGCTGCCAGTGGTTGCCAGTCCTGATACTGCTGCTGGGCTCAGGTTATGAGCCAGGGGTGGAAGGTGTGACACACTACAAGGCCGGTGACCCCGTCATTCTCTACGTCAACAAAGTGGGACCCTACCACAACCCTCAGGAGACTTACCACTACTATCAGCTTCCGGTCTGCTGCCCTGAGAAGATCCGTCACAAAAGCCTTAGCCTGGGTGAAGTGCTGGATGGGGACCGAATGGCCGAGTCTTTGTACGAGATACGCTTTCGGGAGAATGTGGAGAAGAGAATTCTGTGCCACATGCAGCTCAATTCTGCACAGGTCAGCCTCTCTGCATTGGCGAGTGCTTAGCCCTCCCTCCCAGGGACTCATAAGAGTGCCTCCTAATTTATGGTTTTATAGCACCTCTATGGAAATGATCCGACTCGATTCTAACTACAACCCCACTGATAGGCAGGACTCGTGGTATTATTTGCATTCAGTTGAGGAAGAAACATACTTGCTCATGAGAGACTTTTCCAAGACTGCGTGGATATTGAATTACAGAGGTGACACTAGAGCCCAGAGCTCCTGACTCCAAGCCGCTTATTGGTAATAAGGTCCCACCTGTGTCACTGCTGCATAGTTGTTTCCTTCCATACCTACTTACTGGCTTTCTTAACTAGCTCCTTTACACTCTTATCTTTCCTGTGATGCTTTTTTCTTTAGCAGATCCTATCTTAGGGCACTTTTCTTTAGTTTACCCAGACCTTCCTCCACCTTGCCTTTCTCCTTTTTCTACACCTTAACCCCTATCAAGTCATACTGCTCTCTTTGGAGAATCCCAGCATACTATGGTCTAACCCAGTGGTTCTTAACAGGGGGCAGTTCAGTTTGTCTCTCAAGGGACATTTGGCAATGTCTCCTAGAGATCATTTTGATTGTCACTGTTGGTGGTGCTACTGACACCTAGTGGGAAGGAGCCAGGTATGGTGCTTATCATAGTGACAGGACAACTCCCTGCAATAAAGAATTATCCAGCCTCAAATATGAGTGGTGTCCAGGTTGTGAAACCTTGCTCTGACCCTCTGCCTGGGGAGGCCGTGTCTGACTCCTGACTTACTCTTTGTAGGTGGAACAACTTCGCCAGGCCATTGAGGAACTGTACTACTTCGAATTTGTAGTGGACGACTTGCCAATCCGTGGCTTTGTGGGCTACATGGAGGAGAGTGGCTTCCTGCCTCACAGCCACAAAATAGGGCTCTGGACCCATTTGGACTTCCATCTAGAATTCCATGGAGATCGAATTATATTTGCCAATGTCTCAGTGCGGGACGTCAAGCCCCACAGCTTAGATGGGTTACGACCCGATGAGTTCCTAGGCCTCACCCACACGTACAGTGTGCGTTGGTCTGAGACTTCAGTGGAACGTCGGAGTGACAGGCGCCGTGGTGATGATGGTGGTTTCTTTCCCAGAACACTGGAAATCCACTGGTTGTCCATCATCAATTCCATGGTGCTTGTGTTTTTACTGGTGGGTTTTGTGGCTGTCATTCTCATGCGTGTGCTTCGAAACGACCTGGCTCGATACAACTTGGATGAGGAGACTACATCTGCAGGTTCTGGTGATGACTTTGACCAAGGTGACAATGGCTGGAAAATTATCCATACAGACGTCTTCCGCTTCCCTCCATACCGTGGTCTGCTCTGTGCTGTGCTTGGTGTGGGTGCCCAGTTCCTGGCCCTTGGCACTGGTGAGGTGATAAAAATTAATCAGGGATTTCTCTCAAGGGGTAGAACTAAGCAGGTGGTTTGTTCTGGAAAGATCTGCAGATCTGCTCTTCTGTCCAAGGTGAGGGGCAGACCAAAGGGGGGGGGTGGGGTGACCTCAAAAGGGAGGTGTATGGGGCACCTGGGTGGCTCAGTCGGCTAAGCATCCAACTCTTGATCTCAGCTCAGGTCTTGATCTCAAGGTCATGAGTTCAAACCCGGCTTTGGGCTCCATACTGGGCGTGGAGCTTACTTGGAAAAAAAAAGAAAGAAAGGATGTGTATATTCAGCTGTGGGTTTGCTGGACAACAGAATTAGGGGATATTGTTTTCTGGAGACCTTGGGTCTGGGTGGAAGGGGACCGATTCCTCTGAAATTGCCAGAAAAGGGAAAGACTAGGACTTGACACAGGCTTTCCACTACCACCCTGCAGGCATTATTGTCATGGCGCTGCTGGGCATGTTCAATGTGCACCGTCATGGGGCCATTAACTCGGCAGCCATCTTGTTGTATGCCCTGACCTGCTGCATCTCTGGCTACGTGTCCAGCCACTTCTACCGGCAGATTGGAGGCGAGCGTTGGGTGTGGAACATCATTCTTACCACCAGCCTCTTCTCTGGTGAGGACTGCCCTTTCCCTGGTGGGCTGGCCTGGTGGGCCGATTTGAAAAACTTAGAACACATTGTGGAACCCGGAATAGAGTGCTTCAAAGCACTCTATTTTTATTGCATCAAAGCAATAAAAATATGCAAAAGAAACAAAACCATTCAGAAGACAAGAATGCATTTCTTTTGCAAAATGTTCTAGGCAGCATGGTAAGCACTCGACACCCCTTCCTCTCATTTAATCCTCACAGTAATCCTATGTGAAGGTAATATTGTCCCCATTTTACTGATGAGGAAAATGAACTTCCGGCTGGTTAAGTAATTTGCCTGACATTACGCTCCTAAGAGGGAGTGGAGCAGGTTTCAGACCTAGGCACCGTGACTCAAGATCCCGTATTCTTGACCATTACATCAAGAATGAAATAACACTCTTTTGGGAACTTATTTTTTGATACTCCCCCCCGCCCTTAAAAAAAGTAATTTTTTAAATTTGGAGGTGGCTACCCGACTCTAGCCTTACAAGCCAGTTTGTCCTTTCAAAGGCAGTAATAGTGTGCATTCTAAGCCTTTTGTGTTCCCAATCCTGATTTATATTTTATCACATTTATGTTTGAACCAGAGCTTTCTGAAAACAGGGCCTTAATCCAAAGGGATGTCTCATGCTAGGAATTCTGGATAGGATACTACAGAGGGATAGGGCCTTGGAGGCAGGTGGATTGTGTTACTCTTAGATCATTATGTAACAGCGTTAACAGTTGCCTTGTTCTTTAATGATAATGGATGGGGGAGGGGATGTTAAGATAAGGAACGGAAACCACAGGCTATGGCAGGGCGGAGGTCTGCCTGGGAGCAGGATACTTCACACCCTTTCTCCCTGTCAGGGCTAGTCTAAGTGGGTGGTCCCAGGGATGCAACTTCCCCCTGCTGACCCTCCTTCTGGGGGCCCATCCCTGCAGTGCCTTTCTTCCTGACGTGGAGTGTGGTGAACTCCGTGCATTGGGCTAATGGTTCGACACAGGCTCTGCCAGCCACCACCATACTGCTGCTGCTGACAGTTTGGCTGCTGGTGGGCTTTCCCCTCACGGTCATCGGAGGCATCTTCGGGAAGAACAATGCTAGCCCCTTTGACGCACCTTGTCGCACCAAGAACATCGCCCGGGAAATCCCACCCCAGCCATGGTACAAATCTACACTCATCCACATGACTGTTGGAGGCTTCCTGCCTTTCAGGTATCCTCCCTTTATGCCATGGCCATCACTCTCAGATTCCTGACTTTTCCTTTCCCAGGACCCTAACCCAACAAGAGTGATAATCCCTGGTTCAGCTTTACCAGTAAGAGATCATTAAATGGGTCCTCCCTTCTCCAAGCAGGACTCCGCTTGAAGCAGTTCACAGGTGAGGGTGTCTCACTTAGGAAGCTCTCCGGAGACACTGCTCCCTTTCACCATCTTTCTGGTTTCTGACTTTAGTGTCCACAGGCAGCACGTGGTGCTTGAAGCCCACGTCATTGCTTTTTCAATCTGTTGAGGACCTCTAGTGCCAGGCAGATGATACAGCAGAAAATCAAACAGGCAAGATCCTTGCTCTGAACCGATGAGGGCAGATGTTCTTGAAACGACTGCAGCAAGTCAAGGGTAGAAGAGTCCCCATGGAGCCAGGCACTCCAGGGCAGGGACTGGAGCAGACCCACTTTCCACAGTGACCCAGTACCACGGAGGGGTGGTGGCTGGGTGTGGAGCTGGCATTGTGCTGGGGTGCACAGCCCTTTAATGTGGTGTGTCATGTCTTCTCTTCACAGTGCCATCTCTGTGGAGCTCTACTACATCTTTGCCACAGTCTGGGGTCGGGAACAGTACACTCTGTATGGCATCCTCTTCTTTGTCTTCGCCATCCTGCTGAGCGTGGGGGCATGCATCTCCATTGCGCTCACCTACTTCCAGTTGTCTGGGGAGGATTACCGCTGGTGGTGGCGATCTGTGCTGAGTGTTGGCTCCACTGGGCTCTTCATCTTCCTCTACTCCGTTTTCTACTATGCCCGGCGCTCCAACATGTCAGGGGCGGTACAGACAGTAGAGTTTTTTGGCTACTCCTTACTCACTGGTTATGTCTTCTTCCTCATGCTAGGCACCATCTCCTTTTTTTCTTCCCTAAAGTTCATCCGTTATATCTATGTTAACCTCAAGATGGACTGAGTTTTGAGTGACAAAATTATTGCTCTTCTCCCATTCTTCACGTCAAGAGGCCCACTGATCTTTCTTACCAACGTCTCTTCTAATTGACTGAATTGTGTGATGGCATTGTTGCCTTCCCCTTTGCCCTTTGGGCCTCCTTTCCCCCGGAGAGCCTGAAAATTACAAATCTCTATTATATAAGGAGTATATATTTGAACTTTTTAAGTTGCCTTTAGTTTTCGTCCTGATTTTTCTTTTTACAATTATCAAAATAAAATTTATTAAGAAAAAGGATCCTGTAGTTGGGGGGTTGGTCTGGAAATAGGAACTCAAGCCGTGCCGTTAGGGGCACTGTCCCTTAGGAAGCCGGGTCGGCCGCGGAACGCGCGGAACGCGAGTTCTCCGCGTAGCTTGGGAACTCTCGTCCGGGGGAACCTGCGGTGCCGGGGCCTGTTTCCGCGGAAGGCCGACGGAAGTGGCGAAGCCGAAGCTCCCTGTGGAAAGCGAGTTGAATCGCCGTGGCGACGGGAGGGGCGCGGAGCAACGCCCTTTCCGCCGGAAGCGGGTTTCAGGGCTTCCACGTGCTGTCCCTCCCCCCTCCCGACCCAGTAGCGGCGGCTCGGCCGCTGCCATGGAGCCTGGCGGGCTGGAGCAGATCCTGCGGGAACTGCTGCTGCCGGACACCGAGCGCATCCGCCGGGTACGGGACGGGGGGGTGGGGGGGATCGGACCGGGACAAACGGGAGGAGGTGGTGGGAAAGCCCCGACTCTGACCCCGGGACTCCTCCCAGGCCACCGAGCAGCTCCAGACCGCTCTTCGGGACCCCGCCGCCCTGCCCGCCCTCTGCGACCTGCTCGCCTCGGCGGTCGACCCTCAGGTGAAACGCCTGCCCCTGCCCGCGGAGCGTCCCTTAGTACGCCACCGGTCGAGCCCCAGCTTGCCCCCCTGCGGGCCGCCCAGCCCCTTCCTGCCCGGACCCTCACATGCGTGCTTCCTCGTCCCAGATCCGCCAGTTCGCGGCCGTGCTGACCCGCAGACGACTGAGCACCAGCTGGCGACGGCTGGCGGCGGAGCACCGGGAGAGGTGGGCGGGGCCAAGGGCGGGGCGGGGCCGGGTGGAGGCGGCTCCTAGGCGGGCCAAGTACCCACACCTGCCATCTGTGTTCCAGCCTCAAGTCCCTGGTCCTGACTGCCTTTCAGAGGGAGACCGAGTAAGTGCCTACCTGCCTCCTCTTGGGATCCTGACCGACTCCAGGCTGAGACCCTCTGTGGATTTCTGCCATGTCTTTCAGCTCCGGACAGGGCCGGGGAGGGGGAAAGATGTTGTCTGTTCTAAACCAAGAGTGGAGCAAGCATTTTAAGATTGTTGAAGACTAAATTTCATGAGAATGGGTTGTGACGGTCTCCTAAACCCGAATCAGGAAAATGGAACCGAAATTCAGTCTGCGTGAGTTCAGGCTCACCAGACTACACACCCACCTTGCTGCTGGTCTCCCTGTGAGCCACCCTCTTATGTGTCCCAATTTGGCAGACCTTCTGCCCACACTTGGAGGTTTCTGTCCTGGCCACCTCATGGAGGCAGGCCCAGCATGTCCTGGGGAGGGTATTGGAGAGTGATTGGGGGTCAGGGGCAATCTCTCCTGTTTGCAGGCACTCTGTGAGCCTTAGCCTGGCCCAGCTCTCAGGCACCATTTTTCGAAAGGAAGGCCTGGAGGCCTGGCCTCAGCTCATGCAGCTTCTTCAACACAGTACCCACAGCCCCCATATCCCAGAGAGAGAGGTACTAGCACATGGTGGGTGGGTGGGAGGGAGGAAGGGAGAGGGCGACTGAGTGGCTGGATAGACCATATAAGCTTTTCTCTCTCATCCCCTACACCTGGATAGATGGGGCTTTTGCTGCTAAGTGTGGTGGTGACCTCCCGGCCTGAGGCCTTCCAGCCCCACCACCGGGAGCTTCTTCGGCTTCTGAATGAGACCCTTGGTGAGGTGGGGTCTCCTGGGCTCCTCTTCTACTCCCTGCGCACTCTGACCACCATGGCCCCTTACCTGGGCACTGATGATGTGGTGAGATGTGGGTCCTCCCCTTCCCTGGCTCCCTGTCCTCAGAGCTTTCGTGTCCTCACCCTTGCAGGATGCAGAACTATTTCAGAGTCTTTCTCTGCCATTTGTCGTCCCTAGCAATTGAGAGGGGATACTGCGGGTGGCTGTACCTGGGCTCCTGTGTCCAGGCTTTGAGGATGCAGCCAGCTTTTGGGGCCTGGGATGAGTGAGCGTGCATTATGCTTTTTGCCCTCCAGCCTCTTGCACGGATGTTGGTACCCAAGCTCATTGTGGCCGTGCAGACTCTGATCTCTGCAGATGAGGTGAGGACAGCATTCGGGCAGGAGCTCTGTTTTGAGGAGAGTATAGGCGCACAGGGCCCGGTCCACTGAAGTAACCCATGGTAACCCTCTAACTTGTTTGACTGGCTGGCAGGCAAAGGCTTGTGAAGCTGTGGAGGCCTTGGATGAATTGCTGGAGTCAGAGGTGCCCATCATCACCTCCCACCTCTCTGAGGTCCTCACATTCTGCCTGGAGGTGAGCCGGCGATGGGCATAGCCTCTGCTGCTTGTTTTGCTGGGAGTTCCCTTGCCTGTCTCTGATTCAAGTTTGTCTCTGGGCAGGTGGCTAGAAATGTGGCTCTGGGTGATGCAATACGCGTACGGATTCTCTGCTGCCTCAGTTTTTTGGTCAAAGTCAAGAGCAAGGTGAGTACTCCATGATGCACATGACTGCATCCCCATTTCCATCCTTGGGCTAATTTCTGGGACATTCTGTTCATCTCAGGGGTATCTTGCAGTTTTCAAAACTTTATCTGGCCTCACTCCAGCTCCTGGCTGGAAGTTTGGGAGTTTCCTGCTGGACCCTTTGTGGCCTAGGAGGCTGGGATTTTTTTTTTAAGACTTATTTATTTTATTTTATTATTATCATTTTTTATTTTATTTTTAAAGATTTTGTTTATTTATTTGACAGAGAGAGATACCGTGAGAGAGGGAACACAAGCAGCGGGAATAGGAGAGGGAGAAATAGGCTCCCCACCAAGCAGGGAGCCTGATGCAGGGCTCAATCCCAGGACTCTGGGATCATGAACTGAGCCGAAAGCAGATGCTTAACAACTGAGCCACCCAGGCACCCCTATTTATTTATTTTAGAGAGCTGTGTGCACATGAGCAGGGGGAGGGACAGAATGAGAGGGAGAGACAATCTCAAGCGGATTCCCTGCCAACTATGGAGCCCAATGTGAGGCTTGATCCCATGACCCTGAGATCATGACCTGAGCCAAAGTTAAGAGTCAGATGCCTAACGTACTGAGGCAGCCAGGTGTCCAAGGCTGGAATTTTTATTGTGAGTCCATCTCGGGAGCAGATTCTCAGGGACGTGGTTCCACCTTCCCTTTCAAGGCCTTACTGAAGAATCGTCTTCTGCCACCCTTACTACACACCCTTTTCCCCATTATGGCTGCTGAGCCTGCCCTGGGCCAGCTGGATCCTGAGGACCAGGATTCGGAAGAGGAAGAGCTGGAGAGTGGGCTGGTAGGAGAGACTCCTAAGCACTTTGCTGTACAGGTGAGATGTGCAACAGGTTGGGGCAGGCGGTTAGGTCGCTGTGGGGCAGAGATGGAGTCCAGCAACGTCTTCCTGATCTTTTTCAGGTCGTGGACATGCTGGCACTACATTTGCCCCCGGAGAAGCTCTGTCCCTTGCTGGTAAGTATGGCTCTGTCCTTCCGGTGCCCTTCCCTCTCCCTCAGTGTGCCTAGTTTCCAACCACTGAGGCTATTTGGGCCCTGGCAGGTGTGGAGGGCTGCGGCAGGAGTGGGCAGACTTGGACCAGGGTTTCAGCAGAGAACCATCCATTCCCCTAGATGCCTGTGTTGGAAGAGGCCTTGCGGAGTGAGAGACCGTATCAGCGCAAGGCTGGCCTCCTAGTGCTGGCCGTGCTGTCCGATGGAGCTGGTGACCATATCAGGCAGAGGTGCCTGTTCCTCTGTCCTAGAGGGAGGGCGGGCCATGGGGAGGACCACCGCACGGCCCATGATGGTCCTAGTCTCTCACAGCTGTTGGAGCTTAAGTATGGGGAGCATTTCCCCTCACAAGTACTCTGGTTTGAAAGATAATTGAAATGGCTACCTCAGCTCTGGAGAGCAGGGGGCGGTGCCTGCTGTCAGTGACATTGCCCTGGTTTCACCCGGGAAATAAGGGGCAGGGCTCAGCTAGGGCTTTCTGGCCCCGCCCCTCAACCAGCATCTGGCTTCCGCACCCCCAGGCTGCTGCCCCCACTGCTGCAGATCGTATGCAAGGGCCTGGAGGACCCATCCCAGGTGGTCCGCAATGCTGCACTGTTTGCCCTGGGCCAGTTCTCGGAGAACCTCCAGGTCAGTGAGGCTGAACGTGGGCGGCCACTCTAGCAGAGCCCCACCCGTCCTCAGGACCAGCTTCCCCTCAGCTTCATCTCTTCACCCATCCCTGCCGCCACTGCACTTAGTGGGGTGCTTTGAGGGCACAACCCCGGTCAGCTGACTCGGGGCCTCCTTACCCCTCCCCCAGCCCCACATCAGCAGCTATGCAGGAGAGGTGATGCCACTGCTCCTTGCCTACCTGAAGTCGGTGCCTCCTGGGCACACAAACCACCTCGCCAAGGCCTGCTATGCCCTGGAGAATTTCGTGGAGAACCTAGGTAGGTGTGGGAGGGAGGGGACAGAGCTGTCACTTTGGATGAAGGGGGTGGGACGTGCTACCTGCGGCAGGGAGAGGTGTGTGGCAGGCTTCCAAGGAGCCCTGGGCTGGATGTTAGAGGTCAGCCTGGAGGCAGGGGGCCCCCAGAAAGTAGGAGACCTGGGCTGTTTGTTAGAGGCTTGCCCTTTCCCACAGGGCCCAAGGTGCAGCCCTACCTTCCAGAGCTGATGGAGTGCATGCTGCAGCCTCTGAGGAATCCCAGCAGCCCCCGGGCCAAGGAGCTGGCTGTGAGCGCCCTGGGAGCCATTGGTGAGGAGAAGGCTGCGGGTACTGGGTTACCCTACGGAGCCTATGGCACGTGGTTCCGGTGATTCTCATTCCAGCTCTGATTCTGTCCTTCTGTCCCTCAGCCACAGCTGCGCAGGCCTCCCTGCTGCCCTACTTCCCCACCATCATGGAGCACCTGCGGGAATTCCTGCTGACAGGCCGAGAGGACCTCCAGCCTGTGCAGATCCAAAGCCTGGGTGCATAAGGGGCTCAGGCGGGACTCCCAGTGCCGGGGAAGGGCCAAGGGGTTCATGAGGATCTCTCCCAGGCCAGCACAGATATCTTCCCATCCAAGGAGGCACTCTTCCTACTGTACCCAGAAACCAGTGGGATTGCTCAGTTAACCCCCAGCTGCCATCTTCGGTCCCCCAGGTTTTGGCCTTGTATCTGTCTGGCTCATGGTTGCCTCCTAGTACTAACCTGGCCCTTGTACCCACAGAAACTCTTGGGGTGCTGGCTCGAGCAGTGGGGGAGCCCATGAGGCCCCTGGCTGAAGAGTGCTGCCAGCTGGGGCTGGGCCTGTGTGACCAGGTAGACGACCCTGACTTGCGGCGCTGCACGTGAGTGAGCCCCCGTCCTGCCCCCACCCCATGCCTCCTGCCTGCCCACTGGATCCCCAACCCTGAGCCTAGAACCTGGTCCTGTGGTTCTGGACCGTGGGTTTCCCCGGGCTTCCCCATTTTGTCTGGCTCCGGCAGGCGGGACTGTACAGCTTTCACCTGCCTCCACCAGGTACAGCCTATTTGCAGCCTTATCAGGGCTCATGGGGGAGGGCCTGGCACCCCACCTGCCGCAGATCACCACTCTCATGCTGTTGTCCCTGCGTTCCACGGAGGGCATTGTGGTGAGCAGAGAATGGGTGGGCAGAGTTGGTTCAGGAAGGGCAGCCCTGGGGTGGCAATCATCTGGGCACAGCTGAGCCCAAGTCCCTGCTGCACCTCCTCTGCCCAGCCTCAGTATGACGGAAGCAGCTCCTTCCTTCTGTTTGACGACGAGAGTGATGGGGAGGAAGAGGAGGAGCTCATGGACAAGGATGAGGAAGAGGAGGATGACTCTGAGATCTCAGGGTGCGGAGGGGTGCCATTCTGCTCAGAGGAACCTTGGCTTTGGGCAAGGGCCCTGTGCCCCTGCCCCCGTAGGTGCCTGATCACTGCCAACCCCCACCTTACTGCAGGTACAGCGTGGAGAACGCCTTCTTCGATGAGAAGGAAGACACCTGTGCTGCTCTGGGGGAGATCTCGGTGAACACCAGGTGAGCCTTGGCCCTTTCCTGACACTGGGAACCCCACCGGGGAGCTTCTTCCCCATGGCTGTGTGCCTATCCACAGTGTGGCCTTCCTTCCGTACATGGAGAGTGTCTTTGAAGAAGTATTCAAGTTGCTGGAGGTGAGAGGGCCAGCAGATGGAGCAGGTGGGGTCCCCGGGGTGAGGGGCCCTGCATTGGCCATGACCACAGCAGGCCTGTCCTGCACGTCCTCATCCCGCAGTGCCCTCACCTGAACGTGCGGAAGGCAGCCCATGAGGCCCTAGGGCAGTTCTGCTGTGCGCTGCATAAGGCCTGTCAGAGCTGCCCCTCGGAACCCAACACCGCAGGTGAGCAGCGGAGAGTGGGGCCTCCAGAAACCGTGGACGGTGGGGTGGGGGGCGGGGGAGGGCAGGGCCTAACCGGGGCCTCAGCCAATGATGTCCCCAGCTCTGCAGGTCGCCCTGGCCCGGGTGGTGCCATCCTACATGCAGGCAGTGAGCAGTGAGCGGGAGCGCCAGGTGGTGATGGCTGTGCTCGAGGCGCTGACGGGGGTGCTGCGCAGCTGCGGGCCCCTTGTGCTGCAGCCCCCTGGGCGCCTCGCTGAGCTCTGTGGCATGCTCAAGGCCGTGCTGCAGCGGAAGGTGAGCGGGGCAGGTGGGCTGCAAGGCGAGGAGCTGGCCTGGCCGGAGGCTGCAGGTCCAGCCTCTCCCCACCTCCCCATCATGGAGAGAAGGGACCAGAGAGCCCAGGCTGAGCTAAACGCTCCTCTCGCAGACAGCCTGTCAGGACCCTGAGGAGGAGGAGGAAGAGGAGCAGGTGAGAGTGCGGGAGGCACACGGCGGGAGCAGGCTGTCCCTGGGGTATCTGCAGAGCAGGGATGGACAGTGTCCCTGGGCTTGGCCTCAGGGAGCCAGGGCTGCTAAAAGGTTGGTTATGGCTTTGAGTAATGCATCCCTGCTCCCATGAAGGCAGCGGGGGTTCTGGAAAAGCTTTCTGCAGGTGAGGGTCTGGGGGCAGGGAGGGTGGGATTGAGAGGGGAGAGGAGGCTCACCAGGAGAGAAAGCTGGGCTTCACAGGAGCCCAGCCTGGCAGGGCCCAATCCCATCAACCCAGGGCCACCCCTGGGGGCCACCTATGGTGGTGGCAGAGCACTGGGTGGGGCGTGGTCCCTGCAGCAGAGCTAGCCCCGGTACCCTAGCAGGCCGAGTATGACGCCATGTTGCTAGAGCATGCTGGAGAGGCCATTCCTGCCCTGGCCGCTGCAGCAGGGGGAGATGCCTTTGCCCCCTTCTTCGCCAGCTTCCTGCCATTGCTGCTGTGCAAGACGGTGAGTGCTCTGCTCCCTGGCCTCCAACCCCATCCTGCCTGTGTGCCCAGTGCCTGGCCCCACCCTGACTCGCACTCTTCCCCCCCACCAGAAACAGGGTTGCACCGTGGCAGAGAAATCCTTTGCTGTGGGGACGCTGGCAGAGTCCATTCAGGGCCTAGGTGGTGCCTCAGCCCAGTTCGTGTCCCGGCTGCTCCCTGTGCTGTTGAGCACCGCCCGGGAGGCTGACCCTGAGGTGCGGAGCAATGCCGTCTTCGGGCTGGGTGTGCTGGCGGAGCATGGGGGCCGGCCTGCTCAGGAGTATCCTCGGGCTGTGGGGGGCGGTGGGGGCGGCCAGTGGGGAGTGGAGAGTATCCCTGGGGCTCCAGGATGGGAGAGGTCTGCCGTGGGCCTGTTCCTTGACTGTGGAACCAGATACTTCCCCAAGCTGCTGGGGCTGCTGTTGCCTCTCCTGGCACGGGAGCGCCACGATCGCGTCCGTGACAACATCTGCGGGGCACTGGCCCGCCTGCTGATGGCCAGTCCCACAAGGAAACCGGAGCCCCAGGTGAGGGCTGGGGGCAAGGCCCAGAAGCTGCGGGGGTGGGGTGAAGGCGACAGAACAGCGGTCTGAGGCCTCTCTGTGTCCAGGTGCTGGCTGCCCTGCTGCATGCCCTGCCCCTTAAGGAGGACTTGGAGGAGTGGGTCACCATAGGGCACCTCTTCAGCTTCCTGTACCAGAGCAGCCCCGACCAGGTGAGTTGGAGGGGAGCTTCACGCTCCAGCCAGACAGGCTTGGCCTCCCTTATAGTTGACGCAGTCACAGCCTAAACTGCTCTTGGATACTCCTGTGTCCTTACTCTGCCAGGGTTGATGGCCGTGCCCCCCTCACGGCGCAGCAGTTTTCCCTCGGGAGGCCCCATGCTCCCTGGCCCTGTGCATCCTCTGGTGGGAGGCAGAAGTCACAGCTTCCCTGGGCTGACTTCCTACACTGGGGTTCCTTCCTACAGTGTTCCTCAGAGCATGGACATCTTTGGGCCACCCTCCCTGTCCCTTCCAGTTAGAGCAGCTCTGGTTTCTGAATGCGATTCATCTGCACCAACCAGCTAGGTTTGGACTTGGGTGCCCACATTCCTGTGTCGTTCACCTCTGTCCTGCACCTTCAGAGCCTGCTGTGTTGGTGGACCTCCTCTGAGTGTCTGGGCTTTTGGTCACCATCTGTCTCCTTCAAAGAAAAAAATTACTCCCACCATGTTTCATGGGTCCTTCTTGGGTTTCCCAGTTGTCTCAGATGTGAAACAGTGTCATGTATATATCCCTAGCAGGAGACTCCGGCTCTCCTCGGGCCCGGGGCCCGGGGCCCAGGGCTGCTGGCACTCCCAAGTCAGCCTGTTTCCCCCGCCCCACAGGTTGTAGATGTGGCTCCTGAGCTCCTGCGCATCTGCAGCCTCATCCTGGCTGAGAACACGATCCCACCAGGTGATTGGGGTGGCAGTGGGCTGGGTGGGGGGAGGTGGGGGCCAGCTAGGGACCTGCAGGCCAGGCCTCCCCGTTCTCTCTCTCTTCGCTCTCCACACAGACACCAAGGCTACACTGCTGCTGCTCCTGACCTTCCTGGCCCAACAGCACACTGACAGCTTCCACTCGGCCCTGGGCTCGCTGCCTGGTGACAAAGCTCAGGAACTCCAGGCCGCCCTGGGCCTCACCTAGACTGGGGGCTGCAGCCGGGCCAGAGAGAGTAGAGCCTGCCCAGGCCCCAGGACCACCTCTCAGCCCTGTTTCAGCTCACGCCTTACCAAAGATTCTGGGCCTCCTACCTACTCGGGAGTCTCAGCCCCTCTTGCTGCCTTATGGAGGTGTCTCTGGGGCTGGGTCTGTTAACGCTGTGGGACAGTGCAAATGGAGTCTTGACATCCTACCCCAATAAAGGCAGTTCGGTTACTGCTTGACCGGTAGCTCTGAGATCAGGAAACACAGAGTTCAGAATCAAGGCAGGCAAGACGGGTTTAATGTGGCCAGTTTCCTGGCAGCTTTGTCAGTTCTAAGCGCAGTGGAACCGGGGCCCCAGCTGGATCAGGAGGCGCCCGTATGGCTTCTCTTGTTCCAGGCAGAGGATCTGCTGTGCCGCCAGCACTGGTCAAGAGAAGAGGACGGGGCCGGTCAGGGGGAATCCCTGCGGCAGCCTTCGGACCTATGTGTCCTCGCCCCACACATGGGCCCACACGTCCCCATACTCACCCAGGAGCAGGTAGAATACCCGGGCGGCCATCCGGCGGGGGCTGAGTGGGGACACCAGGCTGTCGAAATCGGGCTCCCTGTTGGCCTGCAGCTCCTGGGCCACGGCCCTGTAGGGATCAGGAATGGTCAGCTGGAGTCCCAGCCTGCCCACCACCCCCTCCTTCCCCCCGCAGCGTTTCCCTGCACCTGTACAGGGCCTCCAGCGACAGCAGCTCAGGCTCCAGGGGCAGCACTGAAGGCAGCTCCAGGGCCACTTCCGGGACCTCAGGCACCACAGGCAGTGCAGGGGGCTCAGGCTGCTCTGCCTCAGCCCAGGCCCTGGAAGGACACGGCAGTCACCTTCCAGGGAGTAGGGGAGGTGGCAGCTGTGACATGGATGAGGGACCCACCCTGAGTTCCCTCGGACTGGTGGCTTACCAGCGTTCTTCTGGGGGGATGAGGCTGATGCGGGACTTCTCTTCCTCCACCGCTTCCAGAGAGAGCTCTGTTGGGAGGGGAAGGTCCTGAGTGGGTCTGCTTAGATCAGAGTGGTCGGGACCTTGAGGATCCCTGGTCACACTAGATGTGACTGCTGTGCAATGACTTGTAAGAAGGAAGAGATCTAGGCTCCCTTTCGTTAAGTGCTCCCTCTAGTGAAAACCGTTCGCAGTTAAGGTACCCGTTCCCTGGGACAGTGGCTGTGGTGGTGGCCCTCTCCCTTCTCCAGGTGCCTACCTGAAGACAGCATGAGGGGCCCGCTGGGCTCCTGGGCCTCCCTTGGGACCTGCGGATGGGAGAATGAGAACTAAGCCTCCAAGATCACAGAAGCACCTGGGGCAGGGTGACGCGGTCTCGGCCTGCGCTTGAGGACAGGACCTGGCACCACTGGCTCGGGTGGGCAGAAGGCAGCCTGTGGGAACTCAGGTGAAGCAGGCTGCTCCCAAAGGAGGAGGAAGGGGATGCAGTTACCTCAATATCACTCAGAGTTTCCATCCTCCTTTCCTCCTCAGCTGCCACCTCCTCCTCAGGCTCTGGGGGTGGCCTTCTCCTGAGTGCTTCTGGGGGTGGCTGGGCACAGTGGGTCCAGAGAGCCAGCAGTTCTGGGGGGAGCCAGCCAGCTGGGAGGGGGGTGGCAGGGATGGGGTCTGAGGTGTGAGGAACACCAAGACAGTGGACTGTGAGTTCAGAAGGCCCCACATGCCAACTCCTTACCATGAGTTGGGGTTCGGAATAGCTCCATGGGACTCCTGGTGGTCCTCTCGGGAGGCTGCACCTTTGGCTGCATGGGGGGTGTAGGGGGAGGCCAGAAGCCCAGTTAGGAGGGAGCCCCTCCTCACTGCCCCTTCTCCACTTCCTTGCAAAGCTTTGTTCCAAGATCTCTGATCCCCCATGCTGGCTCCGGCCCCTGCCTGCCCCGCCTACTGCTAGGTGGTGCCCAGGCATGTGCTCTGCAGGGTCACTAAAGGAGCGAGGAGAGTTGACTCTGTAAACCTGGAACACACGCACTTTGAGGATTGTTTCCAGTGCCTCCCCAGCACCTATGGCCCTGAGCCCTCCCTCCATCACCCGTAGAGCCTGGGCTGCACTCACACACTCCCAGCAGTGGGCTCTGGTTTGCAGTTGTTCCTGGAATTTCTCCCGGGAGATCTGAGTCTCCTTGTCCCAGAACAATAACTGGCGGCGGCGGCGGCGAGCAGGCGGACTCCGAGGATATGGGGGCACTGGAGGCTGCCGCCTCTGAATGGGGAGGGGAGGCAGGGCCAAGGCTACCCATTACTCCTTTTCCTGTCACCTTGGTGGGCTACAAAACAGGCCCCACATCCCCACTCCAGAGGCACCCTGGGAAAGAGCTTGGGCAGGGCCTCTGGGTGCAGCTCTGACCTCACATGGGGGGCCCATATGGGGAGTGCAGGCTCAATAAAATGGAGAGTGAACAGGGCACTTTCTACCAATTTGCACAAATCCTAGATAGGCTAGCAGTGGCCCAGGGCTTGGGGAAGCTGAATATAGATGAGCAGCTCTGGGAGAGGAGGACAAAGAGGCGGAGAAAGCTTGGAAGGGGCACTACTCACCTCTGGGCTGAGTGGGGCTGGCAGACGCAGCTCTGGTGGTGGGGTCACCTCTGCAACAACACTCTAGGTCACGGCTCTGCCACAGGCATTTGTCCCAGCAGCCACCCAGGCCATAAGCTAGAAGGCCTCCCTTCAACAGGGCCCTGGGTGGCAGCAGCTGTGCACATAGCCCCAGGAAGGCCACAGGCACAATGGGCACTCACCAGTAAGTAGAGCCTCGGGCTCCCAGCCTACTGGCTTCACCTCCTCGGGGGCTGGGACCGGAAGTGGCTCTGCTGCCTCTTCCACCCTGAGGGGAAAATGGGCAGGAGAAATGAGTCCACCCCTCCCAGCACCAGCCCCCTACCTGGCCCAGGGGATCCTGCCCTTACGGTGCGAGAGCTGGAGGTGAGAGCGGGGGTACTGCCATTTCCCCCTCCAGGGCCCGGGGCTCCTCCTTGTACTCTACAAAGAGAAGACTCAGGCTTAGAGCGTACAGGAGGAGCTAGGAGCACTGCCCAGACCCAGCCTGCCCATGCCAGGGGGGCCGGACGTGCCCTTCGCTCCCGGGGAGGCCTGCCTCGCCGTTCCTCTAACAGGATCGCTTCATCTTCCTCAGCAATCAGCAGGTCCAGGTCTCGGCGGCTGACCTCTGGGAGATCCTGTTCACCCTGGCAAGAGATTAAGAAGAGGGGATGCAATCCCCTTGCTGAAAAGGGCAAGTGGCTCTAGGATACTGGGTCTGAGAGGCAGGCAGCAGGAGGCCCACTGTGCGCTGAAGCGCCAGGCGCAGGGAGTGCTGGAATGGAGATGAGAAGGCAGGACTCGCAGACAGGAGGGTAACATGAGGCAGGTGGGGCCACCAGAGGCAGCACTCAGGCCTCAGCCTCTCTGGAAGAGGACAGCTTACCTCGATCTGCAGCATGCGGATGGGCTCTGCCTCCTTGAGGGTGATAGCCTCTGGAGACACCACAGTGACCGGGATCCTGTCTGGAGAGGCAGGAAAGTCACATCAGCCCCTCTGCGGCTTTCCAGCTTCCCATGCCACGTGAGGCGGCCAAAGCACAGACTCTGGAATTGAGTCAACCTAGGTTCTAGTCAGGCCCTGGCCAGTCACGGGCAATCTGACCCTGGCTAGGTTGCTCAAGCACTATAGGCCTCACTTTTCTCCTCTGGAAAATGGCAATAAGAATTCTGATCTCATAGGACTCTTGTGAGGCAGAGATGAGGTGACACAAATGGAATGCCCCTCACAGGGCCTGGCTCTTAAGAGAAGCTCAAAGATGGTCTTCAGTTCTTGGGCCTTCTGAGGCCTCTCCCAGGAAAGAGGCTCTCTGCTCACCAGGCTTCCTAGGCTCCACGGGGACTTCAGGCGGGGCTTCTTCAAGCTCCCTCTCTGGGGTTGCAGCTTCTAGGAGCTGTCGAATCTTTGGACAGGATTGGGGACAAAAGGGAGGATTCATCCTCAGCCCATTCTCCCACCTCCACAACCTTATTCAGACAGCAAACGAAAATATTCCTTCATGCCGCAGCTTTGTGACACCAGCACACAGTGAGCCCACTCACCATCTGCTCTCTTTTCCTCCCATTCCTGCCCCCACTATCTAGACTTTGTTCATTTTTCTGTGCAGGAAGCACTGCACCCTTATGTCAAGTGTTGGGGGGTAAAGATCTCAAGAAGCCTATTGTCTAACAGAAAGACCAGTGTGTAGAGGACCCCAGCAAGTCAGCACAAGGGGTGAGACAAGCACACTAGCAATGTGCTCAGTTCCAAAGCAACATCTGGCTCTGGCCAGAGATAAAGCCTCATAGAAAGGGGTAAACACTGGAGCCAGGCCTGCTAAAGACATGTGGGACTTAACTAGTATAGAACAAGGGTGACCATTAGGGGTATGGAAGGTTGTGTGCAGTGGGGAGCCAGAGGTGTCTTTGAAAGAAGGAAGTAGCATTGTCTTAAGCTGTAAATGTGTCAGAACATGGATAGAGGGAGACATGGGCACAGAAACTTAAGGCTAAGAGATGCTAAGGGCCTGGCTTAGAGCCTTGGCAGTGGGAACTGTGTGGTGAGAAGTTGGGACAAGGGCTGCTTTGTCTGGAGGGGTCTGCCATGACAGTCCCCCAGCACGGACACCTGGAGGGGAGAGCTGTGGCAGGCCCCCTTCCCGAGCCCCATTGTCAGACACAGGAACAGCACTCCCCTCCCACACTGTCAGCTCGCCAGTCTGAGGCATCTGTGGGGAATGAGCCCTACCTGAGGGATACTGAAGGGGCTGGGAAGTGTGGGATCCACAGACATCACCCCGAAAAAGGGGTCTGGAGCACCTTCCAGGGTCTCCATCATGGCCAGGCGGTTAGGAAGCAGCAGGCTGGGTCTGAGACCAAGAGAGAATGTGAGCTGTCCAGCACTGAGGCAGAGGGCCAACCCCGAGCAGGGAGGATCCCCACCAAAGGCTGAGTGGTTCAGTCCCGGGGGGCACTTACAGCTCAGTCTCCACCATATCCATGCGGATCTGCAGCTGCGCACGGTGTAGGCGCTCCAGGATGTGCTGGATGTCCTCTGCGGGCAGGGAGGGCAAGGTGGAGAGCACGCCTCGCCTCGCTGCCGCAGGGCCAGGCGACTCTGCCCCTTATCTGAGCCTTGCCCGCCTTACCTACGAGGTACTGGCATTGCTGAGAATAGACCCGGATCACACCGATCTGCAGCTGGGCTGACAGATAGAGGGAGAAGCGCGGCCGGGGCAAGCCGGGCAGCGGGGGCTGAACTCGTACCAGCACGTAATTGAGGATCTCCTCACTGTGGGGACAATGTGCCCCGATCACCACTGCTCCAAGGCCCAGCCCCGCAGCCTGGCGCACCCCATCCAGCACCACCTCTCCTGCCCACTCATGCCTGCCCGCTCCTCCCCTTCCCAGCCTTACCAGGTCTTCACCACGTTCACCTTCAGGTACTCGCGCTTCACCAACCGGCTCCCACGAGTCGCTGCCAGCCTGGAATGGGTGGGGGGTGTCAGGCTGGGGCCCCTGGGTGTCCCTCCCGGCGCGCACAGCCCAGGCCTTACCAGATGGTGGCGAAGCAGCCAGTGTGGCGCTGAAGCACGTTGGGATAGTAGAACATTGTCCCGCCGGGCTTTCACCCTTGTCCCCACCACTCCTCCGCTGGGGTCTCAATCCGAATTCTTTGTGGCACGGGGCTTCCAAACACTGCCGTCGGGGCAAAGGGCTTGGAGAGGCAGCCGCCGGGGCAGCCCCAGAACGCCCGGTAAAGGAACGGATAAACACTCAGGTGTAGGTCAACAATTAGGGCGAGAAGTAAACAGAGGCGCGGACCGCACACACAGCAGTCGGGAGGCCCCTCTCTGCCGCCGGGAGTGGGTTCCCACGCCGCGTGGCTGCTTCGAACTTACTGAGGCCTTCCGGGTCGGGTTCCAGGTTGGAGAGGCAGAGCTCCCCAAGCGCAGGCCGGGGCTGGGCCCTAGGCCAGGTCCCGAGAGAGAACAGGGTCCTCTGCAGGGGTGCCGGGCTCCCGGGCCTTGCACTCAGCTTATGCACCTGCAGTCCCCGCGGCCCTAGATCCCGCCGCAGGGGGCGCGCGCTCCGGGACTCGGCGCCTCCCTCGTCATTAGATGGCGGCGGCACCCACAGCAGCCAATGGGGAACAAGACTGGGCTTGGGAGCGCTCGGTTTCAGGGCACCAAGTAGCCCGCCTGGGGTCTAGGCAACAGGTGTCTCCCGAGGCAGACAGCGAACCAATCAGAAGAACCCTGCGTGCTGCGGGGGGCTATTGTGAGGTGTCCTGACCAATGGGCTCTCTTTCTAGCCTCTGATAACAAGGGTTCTCGGTGGCACTTCTCTGCCGACCAATGAGCGAGGGGCCAGTCCCAACCTCGCCCCCGCAGCAAGCTTGGTAACAAGGCCATTTCGACCACTAGAGAAGGTCGGGTCATGCCCAGGGCAAGGGCTCTGCCCCATTCCGGGTGCCTGACCTGAGGTTAGACCTTGCCCTTTCTCCTGAAACCCACCAAATACCAAAGACTGGTCTGCCTCTGTGTCCAGCCTTGAGCTTGTCCTCAGTGGGCAGGTGGAGACGGTGTGAGGTGGCCTTGGGCACACCGCAGATGGTTGAGAAAGAAGTCAGATCTCACAGGAAACATGCTCAGTCATTTCCTAAACTTGAACAACTTGGGCTGTGGGCATGCCCCCTCTGGCTGTTTTCCAGTAGTGAATGTTCTCCTGCCTGAAACAGACTTCAGCTTTGTGGGATGCAAGGCATACATCTCCCCATACAAAAGCCATCTGGCCCAAAAAATTCTTTGTTTTCCCGCCTCCTGCCTTTGTATGCCCCCTGGGTTTGGCTTAAAATGCCCTTTCCAGCCTTGACCCCAGGGCCAGCTTCTACCTCTAACACTCAGCTCTTACTGGCGCTGAGCTGACCCTATTTTATTTTGTTCCTTCAGTCTATGAGCTCTTGACATTAAGATCTTTTTTGGGGGGGTGGGGGCGCCTGGGTGGCTCAGTTGTTAAGCAGCTGCCTTTGGCTCAGGTCATGATCCCAGGGTCCTGGGATGGAGTCCCACATCAGGCTCCCCGCTCAGTGGGAAGCCTGCTTCTCCCTCTCCCACTCCCCCTACTTGTGCTCCCTCTCTCCCTCTCCGTCAAATAAATAAAATCTTAAATATATATATATATATATTTTTTTTCTTTTTCTTTTTCAACTAGTTCCTGGAAACTAGCACAGGAAACATCTGTCAAATGAATATGCAATTACCCCAAATTTACAACCACAGACAGTCAAGTCTGTGACAGAGTCTGACAGAGATTTCAGAATCTAGTCCTTGTAAGCTCTACAGCACTTGTTTTACAGATGAGAAAACAGAGAGGCCCACATGACAGTTCTTCCCAGAATACAAAGCTCCTGAATGACAGGCTGGTTGGGAACTCTGCTCTCTTGAATTCCAGCGTTTCTAGTGCCTATTCCACTGTGCTTGGCTAAATGAGTTTCTACATAATACAAATTGTTTCAATCGTGTATGTTGTCACTGTTTATAAGTTCACACTGGGGAACAAAGGTAGATGCATCTACCTTAAGGGTAGATGCAAAGTGGGGGCATCTACCCTTAAGGTACTTAGAAACTAGTGTAGGAGATAACAGTAATTTGTTCATCCATCCCTCCATTCAACAAGAATTTATGAAATGCCTACTATGTGCCATGTACTCCTCTAGGCACTGAAGATAGAGCAATGAACAAAACAAGTCCTTGTTCTCATGGAGTAGGGAAGGAGAGATGCTAAGTAAGTAGACAGAAATATGTTAAGTGGTGATCAGTGCCATGAGAACAATGAGGCAGCATAGGAGAACAGAGGGTAGTGAGGGCTGCTGTCTAGGTAGGGTGCTTGGGGAAGCCTTCTCTGAAGAGAAGAGACAAAATGCATCTACATGAAGGAAAAATATTCTACACAAAAGAACCAGCAAGTACAAAGGTCCTGAGGCAGAAATGTGATGGGTTCAAGGAGCCTGGAGCTAGAATCGTAAGGGGTGAGGTTAGAGGAGGATAGGAGCCACATCACAAGGACTGTGGAGGCCACTGTAAGGATTTGGGCTTTTACTCTGAATGAGTCAAGAGCCAATGGGGGGTTTTGAGCAGAGGAATGACATGAGATTTATGCGTTAAGAGGATCTCTACTGTGTTGAGAGAATAGTGGAGATAGAAAAGATGTAGATGGAAACAGAAAGAGATGTGAGAGATGACAGTAGGTTATTCCAAAGTGTTAGTCGTGGAAGCAGAGAAAACTGGTCAGATTCTGGATAGATTCTGAAGGAATAACAATGAGCTCTGCTGATGAACTGGATATGGGATGTGACAGAAAATGGAAGAGGACACTATATAATCATAAATGCAACAATCCAACAAGAAGATAAAACAATTTTAAGTATTTATGCACCCAACATGGGAGCACCCAAATACATAAAGCAGTTAATAACAAACATAAAGGAAGTCATCAATAGTAATACAGTAACAGAAGGGGACTTTAGCCCTCACTTACACCAATGGACAGATAATCTAAACAGAAAGTCAATAAGGAAACAGTGGCTTTGAATGACACATTGGACCAGATGGATTTAACAGATATATTCACAACATTCCATCCTAAAACAGCAGAATACACATTCTTTTCAAGTGCACATGGAACATTCTCCAGAATACATTACATATTAGGCCATAAAACAAGCCTCAACAAATTCAAAAGTATCAAAGTCCCACCATGCATTTTTTTTTTAAGATTTTATTTATTTATTTGAAAGAGAGAGAGATCACAAGTGGGCAGAGAGGCAGGCAGAGAGAGGGGGAAGCAGGCTCACCGCTGAGAGGGGAACCAGATGCGGGGCTTGATCCAAGGACCCCGATATCGTGACCCGAACCGAAGGCAGAGGCCCAACCCACTGAGCCACCCAGGTGCCCCCCATGTATCTTTTTTAACCACAACACTATGAAACTAGAAATCAACCATAAGAAAAAAATCTGGAAAGATCACAAATATATGGAGACTAAATAACATGCTACTAAACAATGAATGGGTCAACCAAGAAATGAAAAAGGATATCAAAAAATACATAGAGACAAATGAAAATTAAGACGCACAATGGTCCAGGGATAACTAAGTGGCTCAGCCAGTTAAGCATCTGCTTTCAGCTCAGGCCATGATCTCAGAGTCCTGGGATCAAGCCCTGTGCACTGGGCTCCTTGCTCACTGGGGAACCTACTTCTCCCTCTGCCTGCTGCTCCCCCTGTTTGTGCTCCCTCTCTTTCTCACAAATAAATAAATAAAATATTCTAAAAAAAACCCAAAAAACTCACAATGGTCCAAAATTGTTGGTATGCAGCAAACGCAGTTCTAAGGAGACTTTAGCAGTACAGGCCTACTTCAAGAAGCATGAAAAATCTCAAATAAACCTTATACCTAAAGCTAGAGCTAGAAAAAGAAGAACAAAACCCAAACCAATAGAAGGAAAGAAGGAAATAATAAAGATAAGAGCAGAAATAAATGAAATAGTAAAAATTAAATTTAAAAAAGGATAGATAGGGGTGCCTGGGTGGCTCAGTGGGTTAAGCCTCTGCCTTCAACTCAGGTCATGATCTCAGGGTCCTGGGATCCAGCCCTGCGTGGGGCTCTCTGCTCAACAGAGAGCCGGTTCCCCGCTGCCTACTTGTGATATTTCTCTGTCAAGTAAATAAAATTTTAAAAAAAGGATAGATCAATAAAACTAGGAGCTGGGGGCGCCTGGGTGGCTCAGTGGGTTAAGCCGCTGCCTTCGGCTCAGGTCATGATCTCAGGGTCCTGGGATCGAGTCCCGCATCAGGCTCTCTGCTCAGCAGGCAGCCTGCTTCCCTTCCTCTCTCTCTGCCTGCCTCTCTGCCTACTTGTGATCTCTGTCAAATAAATAAATAAAATCTTAAAAAAAAAAACAAAAAAACTAGGAGCTGGTTCTTTGAAAAGGTTAACAAAATTGATAAATCTTTAGCTAGACTCATTAGAAAAGAGGACTTAAATAAAATTGGAAATGAAAAAGGGAAAATAGGGGCGCCTGGGTGGCTCAGTGGGTTAAGCCTCTGCCTTCGGCTCAGGTCATGATCTCAGGGTCCTGGGATGAGTCCCGTGTCGGGCTCTCTGCTCAGAGGAGAGCCTGCTTCCTCCTCTATCTCTCTCTCTGCCTGCCTCTCTGCCTACTTGTGATCTCTCTCTGTGAAATAAATAAAATCTTAAAAAAAAAAAAAAAAAGAAAAAGGGAAAATAACCAACACCACAGAAATACAAAAGATTATCAAAGAATATTATGAAGAATTATATACCAACAAATTGGACAATCTAGAAGATATGGGTAAATTCCTGGAGACACAACTGAATCAGAGAGAAATAGAAAATTTGAACAGACTTATTACCAGCAATGAAATTGAATCAGTAATCAAAAAACTGTCAACAAACAAAAGTCTAGGACTGGATGCTTCACAGGTGAATTCTACCAAACATTTAAAAAGGAGTTAATTCCTATTCTTTCAAAGTATTCCAAAAAACAGAGGTGCCTGGGTGGCTCAGTCAGTTAAGTGTCTGCCTTTGGCTCAGGTCATGATCCCAGAGTCCTGGATTAAGCCCCACATTGGGCTCCCTGCTCAGTGGTAAGCCTGCTTCTCCCTCTTCTGCTCCCCTGCTTGTTTTCTTCCTCTGTCAAATAAGTAAATAAAATCTTTAAAAAAAAAAAAAGTAGAAGAGGAAGGAATGCTTCCAAATTAATTGTATGAGGCCAGCATCACCCTGATACCAAAACCTGACAAAGACACCACAAAAAAAGAAAACTATAGGCCAGTAGTTCTGATGAATAGAGATGCAAAAGTAGTCCTCAACAAAATATAAGCAAACTGAATCTAACTAAAGAAATTATTCATCACAGTAAAGTGGGATTCATTCCTGGGTTGCAAGGGTGGTTCAATATTTGCAAATCTATCATGATATGTCATATCAATAAGAGAAAGGATAAAAAACATGATCGTTGAATAAGCACAGAAAAAACATTTGACAAAGTACAACATTCACTCATGATAAAAACCCTCAACAACATAGGTATAGAGGGAAAATACCACAACATTATAAAGGCCATATATGAAAAACCCACAGTTAACAGCATGCTCAATGGGGAAAAACTGAAAGCTTTCTTTCCCTAAGGTCAGGAACTAGGTAAGGATGTCCACTCTCACAACTTTTATTCAACATAGTACTGGAAGTCTTAGCCACTGCAATCAGACAAGAAAAAGGAATAAAAGGCATCCAAATTGGTAAGGAAGAAGTAAAATTTTCACTATTTGCAGATGACATGATAGTATATATATAAAACCCTAAAAACTCCAAGAAACTACTAGAACGATCAATGAATTCAGTAAGGTCACAGAATACAAAATCAATGTACAGAAATCCATTGCATTTCTATGCACTAATAACAAAGCAGCCGAAAGAGAAATTAAGAAAATGATCCCACTTACAAATGTACCCAAAGTAATAAAATACCCAAGAATAAACCTAATCAAAGAGGTAAAAGATATGTATTCTAAACTACAAAACACTGATGAAAGAAACAGAATATTACACAAAGAAATGGAGACATTCCATGCTCATGAACTGGATGAACAAATATTGTTAAAAAGTCTGTACTCCCCAAACCAGTCTACAGATTTAATGCAATCTGTATCAAAATAGCAACAATATTTTTCAAAGAACTAGAACAAACAATCCTAAAATTTGTATGCAACCACAAAAGACCTCAAATAGCCAAAGCAATCCTGAAAAAGAAAAGCAAAGCTGGAGGCATCATAATTTCAGATTTTGGGGCACCTGGGTGGTTCAGTGGGTTAAAGCCTCTGCTTTCAGCTCAGGTCATGATCCCAGGGTCCTGGGATTGAGCCCCGCATCGGGCTCTCTGCTCAACAGGGAGTCTGCTTCCCATCCCCCTCTCTTTCTGCCTGCCTCTCTACTTGTGATCTCTGTCAAATAAATAAATAAAATCTAAAAAAAAAAAAAAAAATTCCAGACTTCAAGTTATATTACAAAGCTATAGTCATCAAAACTGTATGGTACTGGCATTAAAAACAGACAAGTAACGGGGTGCCTGTGTGGTGCAGTTGGTTGAGCGTCCGACTCTGGATTCTGGCTCAGGTCATGATCTCAGGGTCCAGTGACTGAGTCCCATGTCTGGCTCTGCGATCAGTGGAGGGTCTGCTTCAGAGTCTCTCTCCCTCTCCCTCTGCCCTCCCACTTATGCTCGCTCACTCTCTAAAATAAATAAATACTTTAAAAAATAGACATATTGACCAATGGAACAGAATAGAGAGCCCAGCAATAAACCTGTAATTATATGGTCAATGAATCTTCAACATAGGAGGCAAGAATATGCAATGGGAAAAACACGGTCTCTTCAACAAATGATGGTGGGAAAACTAGACAGCAACATGCAAAAGAACGCATCTGGACCACTTCCTTATACTGTACATAAAAATAAACTGAACACAGATCAAGGACCTAAATGTGAGGCTTAAAACCATAAAAATCTTAGAAGAGAGCACAGGCAGTAATTTCTCTGACATCAGCTGTACCATTTTTCTAGCTATGTCTTCTGAGGCAAGGAAACAAAAGCAAAAATAAGCTACTGGGACTACATCAAAATAAAAAGCTTCTGCACAGCAAGGAAACCATCAACAAAACTAAAAGGCAACATACTGAATGGGAGAAAATATCTGCGAATGACATAGCTCATAAAGTGTTAGTATCTAAAATATGTAAAGAATGTATGCAACTCAACACCAAAAAACCCCCAAATAGTTCAATTAAAAAATGGGCAGAAGACATGTCTTCTGCAAAGAAGACATCCAGATGGGCAACAGATATATGAAGAAATACTCAACATCACATCATCAGGGAAATGCAAATCAAAACCACAATGAGTTACCTCACACCTCTCAGACTGGCTAAAAATAAAAAACACAAGAAACAACAGGTGTTGGAGAGGATGTGGAGAAAAAGGAAGCCTGTGCACTGTGAGTGGGAATGCAAACCAGTGCAGCCATTGCAGACAACACTATGGAGGTTCCTTAATAAATTAAAAATAGAACTACTGGGGCACCTGGATGGCTCAGTGGGTTAAGCTGCTGCCTTTGGCTCAGGTCATGATTCCAGGGTCTTGGGATAGAGCCCCACATCAGGCTCCCTGCTTAGTAGGGAGTCTGCTTCTCCCTCTACCGTTTCCCCCTGCTTGAGCTCACTTTCTCTCTCTCAAATAAATAAAATCTTTAAAAGTAATAAAAATAGAACTACTATATGATCCAGTAATTCCACTACAGGGTATTTACCCAAAGAATATGTAAGCACTAATTCAAAAGGATACGCGCACCCTTATGTTTATAGCATTATCTACAATAGCCAAACTATGAAAGCAGCCCAGGTATCCACTGATAAATGGATAAAAAATTGTATACGTGAAAACTAATTTAACGCTGTGCGTTCTTTATACTGGAATTAAAATTAAAAAGGGAAAGCAAGAAAATGGAAGTCAAGGTGATAGCAAGTGCAAAGAAGGGCCAGGAGGGATTTTAGCAAATTGAGGGCACCACAGAGTTCATGTACCTGTACGCTCAGTGTCTGCATTCTTCCCTGCTAATGCAGATGCCTGTTTGGATTCTTGGCTTCTCAGGAGGATGATGGACAAGACTGAAGAGGAGGAAAGTCCAGGGAGGCAGCAAGGCTTGAAGGCAGCACTGAAGTTTGTCAAATGCAACAGCAAGAAGATCCTTGAGGATCTAGGTGTGCTGGGCTTTGATCATGTAGTTGAGCCATGGGAGGCTTCTAAGAGCGGTATGACAGGGAAGAGCCTGATCTGGGAGGCCCCCTCCTCTAAGCTGGTGTCCCCTGCAGAAAGGGGAAGCTGCAGGCTGTGGCATCAGCTAAGTGGCGGCTTAGGTCTGAACTGGTCTGCTGGACGGGAGTGGAGAGGTAGGATGACAAGTGGCCTGTGAAGGGAGAACTTTCAGTTTGGTGGCAAAGAAACAGGCGTAAGGGAGACGAGTGTCAAATGACTTGGAGCTCTCAGATCTCAGCCAGTAGTGTTGGTGACGTGGCAGTCTAGGCCAGATGGTCTTTTGTGGGGCTTAGGTAGGGCAAGGAAACCAGGTTGGGGGTCCCTTTCTGTCGGGGTGACAGTGCCCCATGTGCTGGAAGAAGAGGCACCGGGGCCTGGTCTCCCTCCACTGAGGGGGCTCAGCAGCCCTCTGATTCCCCTTAGCACCTCCTTTGGTTCCCCCTCCCTTCCTAGGCCCCAGGGTCCCTAGCACATAGTTTGAGGGCAACCTCAAGTTCTCCTGTTCATTTAGACCTCCCGCCTGGAGTCCCCCAAATCAGAGACCTCTAGCCAAGATCAGCGGAACCCAGATTTTTCCAAGTGAAGCTGGTGGCAACAGCCGCTGTGGACTGTGTTCTTCTTGGTGGCTAACCTTGATCCTCTCCCTGGGCCCAGAACCCACAGAGCAAAGACAACTTCCTAGCCAGAACCTCAGTTGGAGAAGAGGAAAGGAGCCCAGAGAGGTCAGCAGGAGGAGAACCCAAGTACCTCACTCTCAAATTACATCTTTAGCACTTCCCGGTCACCCCTGCTACCTTTTCATCCCAACAAAGCAGATACTGACTCCTCTTTCAATAAAGTTTTATTTTAAACCCCCTAGTGAAGATCTAAGAAGAAAATATAAAGTGCTTAGCTTTAGGGGTGGGGGAAAAGGAAAGGTACCCTGAGTTCACACCATTTGGACTTTTCCAGGTTAGTTCCTCAGAGATGAAAGAAGGCGTATCTCAAAATAAAAAAAAATAAAAAAAAAAGAAAGAAAGAGAGAAAGAAAAAGTGGTGGGGTGGATAAAAATCACTGTTGAGTTCTCCACCAGCCAGGTACATCGGCAGTTCAAGGACGTATCCATCAGAGACAACCACTGAGAATTAGCACGAGGGAGGCAGGTCAACGGTGTGGAGAATGAGTCTCTTTCAAAGGAGATAGGAGGAAGAGAGAGGCAAGGAGGAAAGTGGGTCCCCCAGCCTCTGCAGCAGGGACAGAGAGGCTGCCTGTTCCTCTGGAGTCTCCTCCAGCAAATGTCGGGCAAAGGCCTGCTCCATCTGTGCCAGAAAAGGTGGGGAAGAGATGGTCATGAGCACAGCTGGGGAAGACACTACCCTAGGAGCACCTTTCCCTCCGGAGGCCCCTTCTTCTCCTGGAACACCCCACCCCACCCCACCCACACAGGCAGGCTTGGTCTCCCCCCACCCTGAACTCACCTGCACTGTGATAAGACTCTTTGGGTTTGGGGTACGGCTGGGGCTGGGGCTCTCCTCCCAGAAATTCAGTGTCACCTGGAACTTGGGGGGGGGCCCAAGGCCCCGGGAGTACCTGACCAAGTCTGATGAAAGAGAAAGGGTCAAGGGTTCAAAGCAAGAAAGAGAAGAGAGAAGCCACAGGCAGGAAGGGAATAGAGGGGGCCCATCCTGGAGAAAGAACAGTGACTGCAGGGCCAAATGGAGATCAGGGCTAGAACAGGAGCTGCAGGGTCACGAGCCGTTTCCTCACAGCAGGAGAAATGCCAGCAACTCTGCTGCTATTCACCCATATGCAAATAGGAAAGGGTGCCCCTTCTCCAAGTTAGAAGTGTTTGGAGGTAACTGGTTTTAAAAACAGCCTGCAAAGCTCTCTGCTATAAGAGCTTAAAGTCCTCATAGCAGCAGCCTGGGCTGCTACCACACAGGGGCTCCCCTCTCTGTCGCCTGCTCACAACCCTGCTACCAAGGACAGCCATGGCCCTGGCACGCTCCTGCCCTGCATCCCCTATACTTCTGGCCCCTACTCCTAAGGTCAGATTTCAGATTCAGAGATGAATGGAGGCAGGAAGTAGAACTGCAGGAGTGGATGGGAGAAGGCCAATCAGGGTTGATGCCTAGGGTGTAGCCGGGCTGGTGTGGGTAATGTGCACCAGCTCTCCCAAAGGTGTCAATGGTGTGTATGCAAGTATAGATGCCGGGGAGGGCCTGGGAGCACACCTTTCCATTACTGTCAGGTGCCATGCGGGGGGCAATCCCCGAGATGGGACTTGCCTGCTCAGCTCCACCTGTGCCTTATCTTCCGAGGCCTGGGGAAGGGCAGCTGCCAGGCAGCTGCCAGGGCTGAGCACACAGCCCCCCAGGCTGTGCACTGTGCAAGTACAGGATGCCATGCATGAGCTATAAGGAAGGATCTACTGGAGGAAACAGGGTGGTGGCAGAGCCTACCAGGTCCAGTAGAGGGGAACTAAGGGGCGGGGGCAGGGGCTCTGCTCAGCTGGAACAGCCTTACCTCTGCAGAAGTAGGTGGTTCGGAAGAGCTCCACGCACTCATTGCTGGGCAGCAGATGTGGGCCTGGACCGGGAGGTGCCTGGGGCGCGTTCCAGGAGACAGGGATAGGGCAGAGGCGCTGCACGAAGAGGCCCCGGGAATTGCTGGCGACCAGGACGCCCCTCTCAATCTGGCTCAGCAGGCGCTGGGTAGGCTCCCTTGGGTCAGGCTTGGGAAAGACCACCTGCTCCATTCCGCACTGGGACCCTGAGGGCTCAGCCACCAGGCGGCAGTCCAGGCTCTGCACCTGGGCTTCTCCCACCACACGCCCGCCATAGATGAAGGTGAGCAGCAGAGAGTAGTCTGCAGACAAAGAACCACCAGCTGCACCTGGCCTGCACCTGGCCTTCACCCTCGGGGTCGGCCTGGTCAGCACCAGGGCCTGAGGGGACCAGGAGGGGCTCCTTGCAAATCCCATATCCTCATCTTGTGGGTGAGAAATATGAGGTCCAAAGAGGGAAACCAAGTGTGGGCTGGGGCCCTGGCTGCCCCTTCTGAGGTTAGAGGAGGCATCTCCCGCCTTATCCGCCCTCTTGCCAGCCCCACCAGCCAAGGAGCTTCCTGTCAGACTTTCCCATCACTCAGGAGGGGAGCTGATACACAAATGCCCAGAGGACTCAGGGCTTAATGCCCAGGGTCTTATAGTTTGTAAGAAGGTCCCAGAGATCGGGGCTCTGCTTGACCCATGGGAATTCATGTCTCAAAGTGGATTTCCAGGGAACAGAGTGAATAGGGAGTACTTTTGAGAGCTGAGCTGTTTGAAGTCTGGAGTCTGGCCTGGTGTACTGCCTAGAAACCAGTGCCTCTGTCGGGGTAAGGGGGGCCCAGTTTGCTACAAGCCCCAACAGATACAGTAATACATGCATGACTCCCAGGAGACAAGCTGGGGAGACAGGGAGCAGGGATGAGTCAGAAATGCCACATACCTGAGTCTGGAGGAGGCAGAAACTCCAATGACACCTGATCTCCTTGGAAAGGGGCGCCTTCAGTTTTGTCCGCACCTATCGGGGAAGCAGGGGCATATGGTTCAGGATGGGAATGGGGAGTCCTTGGGCCAGAGGCTGTGGCACGGGGGTGACAAACAGAGGCAGGGGACGTGGTACCTTCCTGAGGCTCAGGGCTGTTGCTGCTGCTGCTGCTGCTCCCAAAGTTTGAATGGCCTGTTCCCCCATTGGCCCCCACCTCCTCCTGCAGACACAGTGTCTATCGTTGGCCCACCTCTCACCTAATTACTGTCCTGCCCCCTCCCCCATTCCCTCCCCAGTGCTTACATTTCTGAGGGGGTCCTCAAGCCAGGAGGGACTGAGCATGCAGTTCTTTGTGGTGCCCTCCTCCTCCTCCTTCTCAGAGGACACAGAACTGTGACATCGCTTTGATGGTGACTTCTGGGTCCCTGGCTGGGCTGTGGAATATCGTGGAGGGGGAGACAAATGTCAGAGCCTTTTCAATTTTTTTTTTAAAAGATTTTATTTATTTATTTATTTGACAGAGAAATCACAAGTAGAGCAACAGGCAGAGAGAAAGAGGGGGAAGCAGGCTCCCTGCTGAGCAGAGAGACCAACGCAGGGCTCGATCCCAGCACCCTGAGATCATGACCTGAGCCGAAGGCAGAGGCTTAACCCACTGAGCCACCCAGGTGCCCTAAGGGTCAGTCTTAACTGGGGACAGAGGGTAGGACAGGAGGCAGTGAAAGGATGGGGAGGACCAGGTAGGGGAACCCGGGCAGCAGCTCCCAAGTACAGGGACAGGCAGGACTCTAAGTGAGGAACCCGCAGAGAGGCCCAGCACCCTCCCAGAAGGCTCCCATCTCCATCCTCCCCCGGTCCGCAGTCTGCTGCTTCTAGAAGTGGCAGTGCGGGGCACCTGGGTGGCTCAGTGGATTAAGCCGCTGCCTTCGGCTCAGGTCGTGATCTCAGGGTCCTGGGATCGAGTCCCGTATCGGGCTCTCTGCTCAGCAGGGTGCCTGCTTCCCTCTCTCTCTCTCTCTGCCTGCCTCTCCATCTACTTGTGATCTCTCTCTGTCAAATAAATAAATAAAATCTTAAAAAAAAAAAAAAAAAAGAAGTGGCAGTGCAAGGGGACACAAGGGGACACCCACCAGGACAGGTCCCTGATGGCGGCAGTAGCCGGTACACCTTGTAGGGCTCAGCACCGTCTCTATGGCTGCTCTCAGGAACCTCCTCAAATTCAGAACTCTTATTGAGGGCACAGCGTAGACGTGTCTTCCAGATGGCAGGGCCTTCTGTGTCTCCTTCCTTGTACTTCCCCTTAAACATCGCCCATGCCTTCAAGACACAGGAAGTAAAGCAGAGGCAGTATGTCACACACCCCACTCCCCGGTAGAGGGGGGCAGCGACTTTGGGGATACACCGCCTGAGCACATGCACAGAAGAGCCAGCGCTCAGGTTTATGCTGCCTCCAAATCCTTCACAGCTTCTTCGCTTTCACTTTGTATCCGGCTGTGTCCACTCTGCTGGTTCTACCCTCCCACCTCCCCTTGCCTGCAACCCAGGCCAACACAAGCCCTGGAGGGTGAGAGTTTCGGTGTACAGGCCACCCTTCCCTCGGAGGGGCTAGTTTCCGAGCTCTTTCACCTTGAAGAAGGCAGCATCCTGGTCCTCCCGGAAGTCCTGCTTGCCCGCGTGCTTCCAGGGGATCCGGAACATTGTTTTGGCGGCATCCTCCCAGCACACCCCAGGAAACTGCCCGCTCTCCACTTGCTCTACAACCCAGTTCCGCAGCTTTCGGGTGCAGCGGGCCCTGCCTGATGCCATCCTGGGGACAAGGGTCGCAGGCAGCATCAGTGGAACTGACGCCGTGGGGGGACACATCTGCCAAGGTCCTCACAAATGGGGTTGGGTCCTGGCAAGGGCCCTCAGGAATCCCATTCATCTACTGTCTGTAGACATTTCTCAAAATTCTGGGGCCAAATTGTGTTGTTTCTCCCTTCACTAGTAATGATAAAGAAAATACATCCCTTTTAACATCTCAAGCTATGACATCTGGAAAGAAATCTTACGCGTTGATCTTAGTTTTAAGACTTTTGAGGAATCTGCTGCCTGCAGAGATCTCCCTCGGTGTGGCTCACGGGAAGAGGCCTGGTCTCTAACCAAGCATCAGCAGAGGTAGTTTCAGCTTCTGAGATAACCCCATCGATCCCTCACCCGCCACCCCCATAACCTCAGTTGACCCCACCAACCCTTCCCCTCCGCTTGCCTCTGGGGTAGGTGGGGCAGGGCTTCGGCGGAAGTGGGCAGGGCCAGAAGGCAAGAAAACAAACAGGGGCCGCTAGGCTCCATCCCGGGTTGAGACTTCCCTCCTCAACAACCTAGCAGTAGGGTCTCCTGTCCTTTGCTTCTAGGGCTGGGAACACTGGCCCCAGGTCAGTCTCTCACTCAGGCCAAACCGCCCCGCGTTCCATTTCACATGCCATTTGTACAGTCCTGTTCCGCGGAGGGGCCCCAGGAGCCCCTGCCCCCTACCTCCCGCCTCCGATCTGGCCCGGCCTTCCAGCTCTAGACCAGGCTGGCTTCCACTCTCCCATCTTACCTGCGCGGCTCGCTGGCTGTCCCAGGATGCAGCTAGCGGCCCTCGGCTCAGCAGCCGTCCAGGAAGCGTCCTGATTTCTCCGCCCCTTCCTACAGTCCCCACCCTAAGTTTCAGTTCTCCAGGCAGGGCCGCTTCTCAGAAATCACGTGGTCCAAGCTGCAGGGCAACCGCGCGCCACCAGGAGGCAGCAAGCATATGAGGACTTCACTGTTGAAAATTCCACTGTTGGGACACCGGAGGGCCCCTCCCCGCTCAGGCTAATTTCCATACCCTCCCACCCCTTAGCTACTCCCTGATCTCTGCTCCACTGCTGCTTGCTTCGCCTCGAGGCCGAGGTTGTGGAGTCTGGCCTGAGGCCTCTGGCTGGCTCTATACCACCCATGCTTCTACGTTTCCCTTCTCATGACTGCCTGGTGCCTAGTACATGACCTCAGATACCAGTCGAATTGGATGAAGGAACAAAGGAGGCTGCAGAGGAGAAAGCCCAGGCAGGGTGGCTGACTGGGGAGGACCTTCTTGGCCATCCAAGGTGTTAATTCCTTCCTGGCCCGGAGTCCAAGGAGGGTCAGGCGGTGGGCTGTAAGCGACCCTTCCAGCAAAGCTCTCAGTTCACCCACCCTCTTTCCCTGTGCCCCAGATGGTGGGGCCAGAAGAAGGACCACCAAAAAGCCTGGGCAAGGAGATGCTTCTTTATTGGTGCTGGAGTTGTTCCTCAGGAGGCTGGGCCTTGAGACCCTCAGGAGGATCCTTGCCCTCGGCTACTTCCTCCTTCGAGGGATACTGTGTCCCAAGGGCACTTCTTCTATCAGCTTCTGCAGAAGGAGAGAGAAAAGGATGCCACTGGAAGCCTAGGGCTCAGACACAGGCTGGACAGGGGCTTCTAGAGCATGGGTCAGAGGTGAGGCTGGAGGGGAGGCTTTACCTGTAATAGACGGGCATGGTAGGCAGCAGTGTCCTCCCCGGCAATGGGCTGTGGGCGCACATGCAGGTAGCGCTCCACAGCCGTCTCCAGCTCCTCTACCTCATACAGGGTGGCGGGGTCCAGCGAGTGGGCATTAATGAGGCTCACAAGATATTCTTTGTAGTGTGCCCTGGGGAGAGGACAGGGTGGAATCATTGTTCTTCTGTTTGGCTACTATTGAGCCAGGGTACCCTGTACATTGCCAGTCACTGGCACACTCACACGAACGAGACTGACAACTCTTGCCGCTTACACGGATAGGCACCGTCTCCCTGTGCACGCTGCTGGCTCCTACCTAGCCACACCCTTGCCCAGAGAACCCCCCTCTTGCTTCCCCTGCAGGACCCACTATTCCAGGAGACCCCCTTCACTCTCCAGGTGTACCCTCCCCAACACTATGCTCCACGCCATGCCTGACACTCACTGGCAGAGGCCAGCATGGCCAGCCGGAGTCTCCTTGCCACAAGCTTCATCTCGGAACCCGTTAGGAACCTCTTTCTGCTCCATCACCCGGCAGCCACCTAAGGGTAAGGGAAGGAAGGGATCCTGTGCTGGGAGGAGGTCACTAACCACGAAGCCTCCAGAGAACCGGGATATCAAAGGAGGCAGCACAGGTCAAGCTTGGACCACACACCTGAGCCTCCCCTTTACCCACAACACAGTGGGAGCGCAGCCTGCCCTCACCCCCCTCCCAGGCTTGTCCCAACACTCACCACCAGGTACCGCCCGGGCCCCTGCTGGGGGCTCTGTGTTGAACATGACATTATTGTCCTAAGGAGGAGCAGATGAATGGGCATTAGGTTCCCCTTGATGCCAGCCCTGCTGCATTGCCCAGCAGAGAGCCTTTCCTTTCTTGCCCCCCAGGGCCCTGCCTCCCACCCTGGGCAATCTGTGAACCCAACCAGGCTCGCCAGCCCTGACCTGTAGCAGCTTCTGGAGCCGGAGAGCAGTCCAGTCCCGCAGGTAGAAGAGGCAGTCTCGTGGGTGGTGGCCATGCAGGGACTTTTTCACCCTGCAGTTAGGGTCTGGACATTTCTGGCAGAAACCCAGATGGGAGAGGGAAAGTTGGAGACGGTTGGGGTCCTGGCTTCTCAGAACCCCTGCATGAGGGATGTAGGGATGGGGGAAGATGGAGACATTGGAGGGTCTGGAGCAAGCAGAAGGGGGGAGGGGACAGAGAGGTGCTTTACACCCCACTGGCCTCCCCTTCTCTTCCCCTAGGCTATTTCTCCATGCCTTTGCCCCCCACCCCCACCCGATGGCAGCGGCCCACTCTCCTGTTCCTTCCTTCCCCATCTCCAGGCTCACATTCTTGGCGTAAAAGGCACTGTAGCAGCCACTGCAGAACTGGTGGCGGCACTGGGTGCAGTGAAAGTGCATGCAGCCTCCTCGGGCCAGTGCGTACGAGAACTTGCACTTGGGGCAGTCTGCAAAGGACGGCAGGTCAGGGCTGGGGCTGCCACTGCTCCTCTAGGCTCTCAGGACGAGAGGCTGGCAGTGACAAATGACCAGGCAAACAGGCCTCGCAGTCCGCCCTTACCAATGCCGTTCTCCTGAAGATACATGGCTAGGCCCTGGGCCTGGTATTCTGGGTCATTGGTGCGTTTCCAGTTCTGGAAATCCTCGCAGCTCCGGCCTCGGTGCTGCTCCTCCCACTGCAGGAGGGAAAGCAAACTTCACCTGAAAATTCCACTCTAGGCCCTTCCTGAGGGTCCCGCCTGTCATACCTAGTGCTCTCTGGCTGAGTTTATGGCACTGTCCTTCACCATTGGCTCCCATCTCAAACCAAGAGGCCAGCCTTGGTTTTTCATGTCCTTGTACTGGCACATCTTCACTGGCAGTTCTTCGGTCCACCCCCCCAAGCCTATCTCAGCGCTGTTCCTTTCTCTTTATCCCTACTGTGGCTGTGCTACTCCAAGCCAGGTCAGGTCTGGCCTCTGTTCCCGGTGTCTCTGCCTCCAACCCTGCTGGCCTGCGATGCAGGCTCCACCTGGTGGCCAAGATGCCTTGGAGAGTGTAAGGCAGGCAGCTTCCACAGCACTGGGAGTGTTCCAGCTTCAAGATTTAGTGGGAGGGTCTCAGGTGGTCATTTTGTTATTACTGTTTTGTAATACAGATGTCACTTTTTGGTATCCATCATTAAACTTTTTAGAATATGTGCTGCCAAAATGAGCGCTCAAATATTAAACTTCTTAAAAGGCAAATGAGATAGTATCACCCCTTGCTTAGTCTTAGAATAAAAGGCAAATACCTTCCTCACTCGGCCTCAAGGCCTCTCCTGATCTGGCAGCTAGCTCCTCTCCGACCGCCTGCCACTCTCACCCTTGCTCTTGGGGCTCCAGCCACACAATACTTTTTCTGACTTTGGCCTTTCCATGTGTTGTTCTTTCTGGCCCGAATATCCTTTGCAAAGTTGGCTTCTTCTTAACTTTCAGGCCTGAGCTTAAATTAAACCATTTTTAGAGAAGACTTGTCTGACTTCTCTATCCTACGTAGGTCCGTTCCATTATTCCTAATCTCAAATTCCTGTGTTTTCTTTATAGAACTTATACATGTGTATTTATGCTCTCTCCCTCCCATACTCCCTTTCCCTCCTTCCTCACCTTTCCTTCCTTCCCTCCCTCCCTCTCCCTTCCTTCCTCCGTTTCCTTACCTTTCACCCTCCCTCCCCCTCAGCCTCCCTCTCTCCCTCCGTCCCTCCCTCCTTTCCTGACTAGTCTGCAGGCTCCTTGAGGCCAGAGCTCACGTCTGTTCCATGCTTTGATATACTCTGAGTCTGATGTAGTATATGCCAGTAGCTTAGCAAGTTCTTTTTGAAAGGATCAATGTGCCTCACCTGGCGCTTACAGCGCACACAGAAGGTCTGGTGACACTGGGGACACGTTGCCTCCAGCTGCTCCCGTTCATATATGAAGCCAAAGGAGCACTGTAGGTACAAGAGCATAAAGCTATATGAGACCTGATCTGGCACCCTGCCCTCCTCCACCCACTCCAGTCAGCTCCCCCGGGCAGGCCACTTACCTGAGCACACCACAAGAACTTGGGGTCCCGCATAAGCACACCCTCAGTCAGCTTCTTGTGAAACAGTGCATAGGCATCTGGCTCTAGGCTCTCTCGCAGCTGGGGACAGGAGGCAGAAGTGGTGGGTGTGCAGGGTTCCTGTTCAAAGCCCAGGGCACCCTGAGTCCTAGGGACTGCAGTACCTGGATGTCAAGGGTAGAGAAGTAGCTGAGCAGCTGCGTGTCATCAGTGAGGTCTGGGCGGCCACAGGCGGGGCACACCATGTCAGTGATGTGCTTCTCCTTCAAGGCGATGGTGAAGTGCTGGCGGAAGCAGTCAGGGCAGATGGTGCACTCACAGGAAGTCAGGGCCTGCATCTGCAGGGTGAGGCCAAGAGAGGAGGGGGTCTGAAGCCATCGCTGCCAGCCTGGGGAGGGGGCAGTAGCCAGGGGTCCACTGAGAAACCCGAGTCTAATGAACGACTGCCAAGGTAGCAACTTTCAACAAGTGCCTGGCGGGCAACCTAAGTGTCTGAAGACTCTCACGGCAGAAAACAGTGGTGAGGCCTACAGTAAAGGAAGAGTGCTCTCAGGAAGGTATTTGCATCCAACTAGAAGCAAACAAATAACGTCCCTGAACTGACAAAACTCTAGAGATGGAGGGGCGCCTGGGCAGCTCAGGCGCCTGCCTTTGCCTTGGTTCATGATGCCGGGATCCTGGGATGGAGTTCCGCATTGAGCTCCCTGCTCAGCGGGGAGCCTACTTCTCCCTCTCTCACTGCTGCTCCCCTTGCTTCTGTGCTGTGACAAATAAATAAAATCTTTAAAACAAAGTATAGTGATGGAGATCAGACTAGTAGTTGTCAGGTGACAGGAGGAAGGGAAGAAAGTTGCAACTATAAAAGGGCTGCATGAGGGGGATCCTTTGAGGTGATGGGATAATCCGTATCTTGTTGGT